AAAGAATAAGAAAGGGTTTCTCTGAGATATTTTCAAGCTGGTATTTCTCTTGTTTTTATACCCTTTCAACTAGTGAAAGTTATTGCTGTTAATTCAGCAGAAATCAATCAACATATTGCCTTGGATATGGCACCTTTCAATTAAACTTGATAAGAGGAAAATTAAAATTCACAAGATAGCTAAATCAAGCATGAAACTATATCAAAGATTTAAAGCAAAGGACCTACAAAGGACACAAAAACATTAATTTGAAAGGAAACCTACACTCTGATGTTTATTGCAGCACTATTTACAATAGAAATGGAAGATAAGGAAACAGCCTAAATGGAGATGTGGTGTGGTGTGTATATATACATACACATACACAATGGAATACTATTCAGCAATCAAAAAAGATAAACTCATGCCATTTTCAGCAACATGGATGGAGCTGTAAGGGATTATGGTTAGTGAAATAAGTCAGAAGTAAAAAGAAAAATATCAGATGGTTTCACTTACAGGAGAAATATAGGGGAACCAAATAAGGGATGGGGGGGAAGACAAAACTAGCAGGCAACTATAAATTGAAGACACTGGGGGCGGGGGAAGGGTGAGAGGGATTAAAACAGGGGCAGGAAGAGCTCAAGAAACTATGGTAATGGTTCACAGGTGACTGTGTGGTGGGAATTTTACAGGGACTACATATATATATAAAAATAAATATTTTTTTAAAAAATCAAAGCAAAGGACCTGTAACTAATAATAATAGTTAATAATATTGACTTTAATAATAGTCAATCTGTAGGCCATTATTAAATAATAATATTATACATTTAAAATTACCTACAACTTTAAATAGTAGATTCTCAAGTTGTTTGATTCTACAATGTTCCTTTTTCTAAGAATTAATAAAATTTCCATATTACAAGAAATTTGCATCTTCTGCTTTCAACTCAGGGACTTCCCTATAAGCATTCCTACCTTATTCCAGGTATTAAGCTCCTGTTTCTGAAATGTTGAAGAAATAGCCTACATTTAAACATTATTTGATTTATAGAAAGCAAATGTTTAAAATCACACCTTTTATGAAAAGTGAAGAACATTTATAAGATTGTGCCTATAGAGAGCATTCTGAGAAAGTTAGTTATGGAATCATAAAAAAGTGGGGCAAACAGGAACTTTAAAATTCAATATCTGAAAGAGAATTCTAAGCTATCAAACAATTAGAAAGATACTTAAACATAAGAGTAAAGAACTCTTATGACCATGCCGAAAGACAAAGCTAAAAAGTAAAAAGGGTGAAAAATTCATAATAGTAAGCAAGATCCTGGGCAAGTGGTGAACAAAGATATTTAGATACTGAAAAGTGTCAGAGTTAGTCAAGGATAAAAAGCTCAGCAAAGAAAGTTCATGTGGGGGAACTCTGCAAAAAGGAAACCAGGTGACTAGATTGTTTAACAGAGTTCTGATTTCAAGTAATTTTCTGGTCAGATCATCTTGTCCTGATTTGTAATTCAGAAAATATAATCATTATTGTAACTATCTGCATCTATAATTCCTATCAAATTGTCTTTAATATAGGAATATATTTCAAAATACCATTTTGAAAATGATAATTAACTGGAAACGCAAATCATCAAAGAAAGTACATTAAAAACTATCCACCTAACCATTAAAGAATGAAAAACCTACTTATCAGTGGTCTTTACCTATTTGCCAGCATGAATAAAAAACTTGAGTCTGGAAGATCTGTTCAGCACAGAAAACTGGTGCCAAGCTCACCTCTGATGATATCATCACTGCTGGGTGGGGATGAAGCCATAATCTGCTAATATCTGAACCATCTTTGCCAGGTTTGGGAGTTCTGTAGACAAGATATCTTTACTAGGCCTGACTGCCATACTTCAGGAAAATGGTACAGTCATTCCGCTTAGTGAAGAATATACTTCAGAAGAATTCCCCTTAGTGAAGAATATACTTGAGAAGATGTTTAAGGGACCTATGTAATATTAAGCCCCAGAAAAACAAGATTAGTGGTGGTTTAGAGGAAATATGAAATATAAGCACCAACAATTATGGGATGCTTATTATATTCCAAGAACTGATGCATTATCTCATTTGATCGTTTCAACAACCCTATAGGGGTAAAACCACTGTTATTAATCCCATTTTACAGGAAACCAAGGCTTATGAAAGCTAAGAAATTGCTGAAGACAACAAAGGTAGTAAGAGGCAGGTCTGGTACTTCAGGGTATGTATATCTACACCCAACGTGCTACAGGTACACTCAAATATGCCGGAAAAAAAAATAGTTTTCTAAAAAATTCGTTTTCTAGAAAGTAATGAATTTACTTTATCCCATACCAGATGCTTAATCTTGAACTTACTCTAGAACTAAAAAAAGTTAGAATGGCATTATCAAACCTTAAATCTTCAAAATAATGTTTTACAATTTAAAATAGTGCGGCAGTATGATGGTGATAGTTCATTCCCTTCACATGAAATACAAAGAAACCCATATAAACCTTACGCTTCATTAACTGGAATGATTTGGACCCAATGAATTGCTGAAAACAACTTCGTAGCTCACTTTTAAAACCAAGTGCCATAAGTAAGATTTCAAGTGTCAGTCCCTTATCTTTACCGTTAAAGAATCTTGGGGAGATGACACAAAATCCACATAGCACCTAGATACGTATATTGTGTCAAATCCACAATTGGGTTTTTTTTTTTTTCCCCTCGATCGTACTCCCTTTATTTAGTGCCCTACTCATTGACATCCTCGTTAACCACATTTACAGTTTGCTCAAAGTTTCGTCCAATATTCACAGTTATCATTGAACCTCACAAATTTCCTGTTCCTCAATGGTTTTTTTTTTTTTTAACTGCAAAAATCTGCAGCCACACTAAGCCTAACATGACACTCTTAACAGACAGGACTGTAAAATGTCCACCGCCGCCAAGACTGAAAGACCCCAGGGGACCCGCGGTCCGGGGCAAATGGACTCCAGCCCTGCCAGGGCGGGGGTTCGCAGCCACCTCGAATAGGGGCCGGGGGGTGGGAGAAATCAGTGCTTGGGGTTCCAGTCAATAAACATTCAGTGCGCCACTTACCAAGCGCAAAATCAAAAAAGAAAAAAAGAAAAATAGGGAAAAAAAGAAAAGAAAAAGAAAAAAACCACTGAGCGCTATTTCGGGGAGTGGGCCCCGCAGGGATCGCCGGAGGACCCCGGGCCTGCGGCGGGCGTGGGGCGCCGGGGAGCGGCAGGGTTCGCTCACCTCCTCCGGCCCCTCGCCGAGGGCGGCCCGCCTGGGCCGGGCCTCGGGCGCCCGGAGCCCGGCGACCGCACACTCGCAGGCCCCGCCGCCAGCCCGCCGGCGGATCGGCCGCAGCCGCTTACCGGTGGCGCCTCGTCGCCTCCCCCGGGGCAGCCCTTCAACGGTTGCCGCAGTCAGAGCACCACCCCGCGGTGGGGCACGTCGAGCCAGCCCGCAGCTCTCGGTCCCCGCAGCGCCGCCACTCTCGCGAGAGGCCGGCCGAGCCCGCGAGTTGGGGGAGGGGGCGGAGGGAGGGGCATTTAACGGTGGCGGCTGCTTGTGCGCCGGATCCCGGAGAGGGGCGGGCGCCATTGTGCTTCGTTGTCGACTGCTCTGCCTCAGTGAGAGGCCTCCGACTCCGAGGAGGAAGGCGGCCGTGTGGTCTTTGCGAGCGGGGCGCGCCCAGTTCAGTGCGAACTCGGCCACGGGGGTAATAAGCGGCGGGGCTCGGGCTTCTCCGGGAAGGGGTTCGAGGCCCAGCCCGGGTGGGGGAGGGGAGGCAGCGCGGCGCGGGCCTAAGGTCGCGGAGGCAGATTCCTCGCACGATGGGGTGGAGGAGCCGGAGCCCTGCCGGGGGGTACGGCGCGGGAGCTGGGCGTCGACTGCCTCTGCCGCTGACCTTTCATCGGGCGGGGGAGTTTGTGACGGGCGGCGGCCGGCGGGGGCAGATCGGAGACGGGTGGCGGGCGAGGGCCAAGGGGCTGGTTTGAGGGCTCGGGCTTGTGGCGGCCGCCTCTTCAGTCGGGCGAGGAGGGTCTTCGGGGGGATCCCGGAGGCCGGGGAGCGTCGCGAGGGAGGTATTCAGTGAACTGGGTGTCGGAGGCGGGAAGGGTCAGGGCTGGCCAGCCCAGCCCCGAATTGGAGGGACTTTGCCAGCCCCTTGGCAAAGCGGTGCAGATGTACTCATTGATCGCTCCCGTGCTTGACTATCGTGACAATTTGTGAGTTCTTGTGGTGTGATCAGTTATTATTCAAAATAGGTTAATGTGTATTCAAAAGGACCTGTTGGCGAATGAAGTCAAAATATAGAAGTCACCAGTAGGCGATTACTCTCCTTTTGATGAAACTGCGTAGTGAAGGTGAACGTGTACAAGCCAACCCCCTCCCCCCCCATTTCAGTAATGCTTTTTTTCCTAATGTACAGATGTAAATCTCTGTCTCGACCTCGGCCCTGAGGCCCTAACGAGTAAATGCCTGGGGAAACTCAGTTAAGTTTCCCCCTCTGATTTAGCAGGACTTTTAGGCTTTTTTTTTTTTCCCCCCACTGTTTCAAAAATCCTGTTTGTTTGCTCCCGTGTTTCCGTTTCTGTCCACAACTGAGAAGTAAGGATAAAGATTACGTTTTGATTTAAAAATCAAACAGTAAACTGTTAATAAGGCACATTGGGTAACTAAATTTTTTCCCAAGAGTTATAAACATTTGGTTTGAGTAATGGGGTTAATATTTCGTTTGCAGCTCTACAGCATTTTGTGAGACAAAAGTGGAGTCCGAAGATCTGTGTTTGAGTCTTGATTTTTGCCATAACTATTTAACCTTTTCAGATATATTTTGAAACGTAGCAATTAATTCCTGGAGTTGATGTGAGGATTAAGTTACCTGAGGTAGTGTGTAGCAGTCAGCATGCTGGGGGATATAATACATGGAGACTTAAGTTTTTAGTGGATAAAAACATTCTCGATTGCAAATGTTTTTATCCACTAAAAACTTACTCTGCATGTATTATATCCCCCAGCATGTTGACTGCTACACACTACCTCAGGTAATTACACATTCTGGTCATAATAACCTTAAAATTTTACTCTGCCTGTAAAAGTCCCTCCCAGAATATTGACTGCTTCTATACATGATAATATGTATTTCTATTTAAATAAGTTCGAGACTGCAAGTGTGGGCAGGTACTTTTAAACTTTCCCTCTAAATTATACCACCTATGTAAGTCTAGTGGTTATTGCATAGTCATGGTTTATTTTCAAAGTTGCATTCTGGATTAGATGTGGATTGAATTAACAGTGATTTCACATTTCTGCTTTTTAAAGTACAAGTGATTTCTCTTTCTGCCACAGTGGCAAAAGATTTACTTGCCCAGATGAAGCACAAAGATGCCCTATACACACATGCACAGATAGTCTACACGAAGATGTCAGATAGTGAATTTGGATGTAAAAAGTTACCCAGATTCTTATGCAGTGAAGTTTCAATCACTTACAACCTCTTCACACTACTCTTCATTTGATGTATGTCCAAGAGTGGTTCACACATTTAATATTATATTTAAGGAAAATAATACTGCAAAATGAGCAAAAAATGTGAAACATTTGTTTAAATATCTGTTGTATTCTGGCTACCAATTAGGGTTTCACATTATAAGAATGAGCTTGACAAAGTGACCTCTGCAACTCACAATTTAGTCATCAGAATAATGTATAAAGAACTTCTATTACCTTACTGTAAGTATATAGTAGTACTGTGGGGGCACAGAAGAGAGGGGTGTTTAATCTTGGGGGGAAATTATACAGGAAACATTGCTTAAAATGTGACAGATAAGTAGGGAGTTTGATAAGGACACTGGGAAGTCATACCTTGTTTTACAAATGGACAATTTGTTCCTACAGCTGAAACAAATTGAATGGAAGGTTAGCACCACGACTGCCATGAAATGAAAGACTGTATGATTTTAGAAAGTGCTTGATACTGTTGAGAATGGAAAGAGATTGTCCTTAAACTGAATAAAAATGACTTTCAGATTATTTTTGCAGTTACACCTTTCTGTTACTACAGATAACTAAGTGCCAGAAATAAAGAATAGTGGGAGATTCCTAAGTGAAATAAACAGGCTTACATCCAGTCTCATTTTTGACCAACATTTAAGAACTAATGAACCTTTTAACTGTTAAATAATCAAAACTGATCGCTTTAGGATGATTACAACTTAAGATGAGTAAGAGCTTCAAGTTTCTACTAAATCTACTTGAATTCACTAAAGCAGTGACATAATTTACCGTGTCACAAATCATTATTTTACAGAAGTTCTGTCTTTGATGCAGTTGATAATCTCAAGGTAAATCCAAAAAGAGAGCAGAAGAGGGAGTTAAAATTATAATTTGAAGATTGGGGTTTAAATTTTATCGCTCTTAATGTTTTAACTTTTCTAGTCTGGTCTGAACTCATGTGGTCAGAGCTGGTTTTTCTTGCTCTCAAATATATTTTTCTGTGGCTTTACTGGTTAGACTGGATAAGTTGAACACCTGGTTTTAAATCACCTACTGTGCTACACCCACTTTTGTCATTAGCTTTAAGAGAGGACAAATTTTGAACCTTAAAGACTACTTCTCATCTTTCCATTATGATCATTGCATTTCAATGTAATGTGTTTCTCACTTTTCAGGGAAAAAAAAAAACCTACTTGCAGAATGAAGATTGAAACTTGACACTAAATAAATTTCCAAGGAGAATAAGTTATCATAAAGTAATCTAGTGTAGACTTACATTATAGTGATATTGTCTGATGGAGATGTTAAACGTCTTTGTGGCTTACTTTTTTTCCTTAGGCTTGTGTATATCTTATGTCTTAAATATGTCAGCTAAAAATTAGTAGACACTGTTTTTAAAAGGCACAAAATGCTGTTTCCAAGTACTTTCCGGATGTGATCACTTAGTTTCCATGTGTCTTTGTTCATTCGGATCAATAAGTTACTAGGATTTCCCACTAAGGAAAACAGTTTACGTGGAGGCAGATTTTTTAAACAAAAGTGTATCCCAAGTTAGTAGAAATAATGAAATTGTGAAATGCTATTTTTTTTTTAAACATTATCTTTTTTTTTTTTTTTTTAATAGAGGCATGTTTTTTATTTATTTGTTTGTTTGTTTATACATGCACTGGGTACAGTCAGAAGCGCGGGAGGGTGAGAGAATTCACCAGAGTCAGAGCGGGGAGCAGAGCAGGCAGAAGGACCGAAGTACACTGCTGAGGGGAGCAGCGGGCGGCAGGAGAGGTCTGCGCGCCATGTGGGACCCTCCTCCGGTGGCCGGGGAGCAGCCGGGGATCGAACTGGCGCTGCAGAGGCCGCGGGCGGGCAGCTTCGCAACCCAGCGCTCAACCGCTGCGCCACTGGGGAGGCCCTGAAATGCTATTTTTGAGAGACTATTGGCTATTGAAATAAATGCTATGAATTTATTATAATATTCTGCTTCGGTAATTCAGTCACTGCAACCCCAATAGATATGTAAGACATTCTGTTTAGAGCCTGAAATAGAGTCAGATTTTTCATAGAAACTAGGTATATAATGTTGTAACTGTAGGAAAGTAATAGAATAAATTTATCACGAAGTTTTAATGTACTGATAGCAAACCACCTCAAAAATTACTGGATTAAAAGTTTGTTTTATTATTATTTTTAACAGTTCTTTGTGCCTATTAGGCAGTTATGTTGGTTTTTCCTGGGCTCACAAATGTACCAGCATTCAGCTGGAGAATTTCTCAATCTGGAAAATTCAAGATGGTGTCACTCACATGCCTGACAAATGGTGTTGGCCAACATTTAGGCTTTGCTTCTTGTGTTTTTTTTTTTTTTTTTTTTTTAATATCGTGGGGGTCTTCAGACAGCATTATGAGACAGTGAAAGTGAAGCTAAAGACTTTACAGCTTTGCAAATCATGTAATGTTATTTATGCTTCATTCTCGTAGTCAAAGTCAGTGTCCCCAGGCTAGCCCTCATTTAGGGGTTGGGGAAATAAGATTCTCTCTCTTCTGGGCATACCAATGTCAACATAATGCAAAGGGGTATGTATACTCAGATGAAGAGATTCATAGCCATATTGTAAATTACCACAGGTTATTTAGAACATTTTAAGAACAGTAATCCATAAAGATGTAATGATAGGATCTGTTTTAAAATAGTTTGCAAAAAGACAAGATATAGGTCAGATGTTGATAATTGCTAGGACTGTATGGTATTGCTAGATATATAGAGGTTATGTGTAAACTCCATTTTGTGAAATGATTTTAACTTTGTTTTTCTCTTGTTATTAGAATAATATTTAATATTTGCTACTTCCTCTGGTATGTAAATGTTAGAGTGTAAACCATCACTACTGCAATTTAGAAAGGGTTTTACTCTTGGGCATTCTTTAAAGATATGTATTATTTGGCTTATTCTTGTTATGATAAGAATAGGAATGATGTCTTCTTGTAGCTTTGTATACTAAGGAGAGATGGGATTCTTCTCTCCATTTCTGTTGCATTTGTTTTATTTTACTTGATAATATCCAAATAGAGAAAAGTTGGGAGGATAGTAAAATTAATACCCATGTACCTCACCCACATTCAACAGTTAATTTCCCATATTTGCTTTATAGTTACATAGGTTTTATTTACATTGTATATTTCCTTAGATTTATTCATTTTCTAAAATATTTTTATTTAATAACCATATAAAGCTTAGTCACAGACATCATGAAACTTAAAATTCAGTCCGTAATTCAAACTGTTTCTTTTTAAATCAGCCAAATTTCATTTTTTTTTTTTCTTTAGACTCAGACTAGAACAGTACTTGCTTAATTTTTCTAAACGTTCTATTTAGCCTTTTTTTTTCCTCCCAAGTGCTTTGCTTATTGCAGCAGTGATAAATACTGTATGCAAACTGGGTAGCTAGGTATGGCTGACAAGTGCCATGTCTCTTCTCAAACTCATGCTCTACTGTCCTGACTTTACTACGAAACACAAGTTCAATGAAGAAGTCACTAAGAATTTCAAGGTATCAAGAGCAAAGCTTTTAATCAAGTGCAGGGTTCTGTGCATCTGCATAGATCATACATCTATGAAATGAGACTGGTGATAAATATTTATCAGAAAGAGAACTTGATTGCCCAACTTTAGAATAAAATCTAAAGAAATTTAAAGAAACTAGAGTAACAGGAAGCTAAAACTTTTATTGACTGTTGAGGAAATATTGTGTATTTGAACTTCTGTGCTATATTCTCTTAATTCTTGGTTAAAAGCATGAAGCTTCAAATACTTTTCCTTGCTCCTCTTTTCTTGCTTATATCTTTTTTTTATAAGCACTTACGGGTATTTAAGACACCTAATTATTTGTGTAGTTGTCTGCTAGACTATAACTTATTTACAAGCACTGTTAAGTACATTCAGTGTTGTTACCTCATCCCCTTGTTTAGTATTTTTTTTTTTTTAAAGATTTTTATTTGTGCATATAAGAACTGGAGTAGAGGCCAGAGGTGGGGGGAGGTGGTTTGAAAGGATTCTCAGACAGAATGGGGAGCAGAACACGCACATCTACTGAAATACACTGCTGAGGGGAGCAGCCGTTCAAACTGGAGAGGTCTGCTGCTGTCTGTGGTTAACAACCTGGCCAGGGCTCAAACTCATGCTGCAGTGGCTGGTGGAAGCATGATAGCCCTGCACCACCAGGGAGTTCCCCCTTGTTTAATATTAATCTGATTACTACATACTAAGTATCAAAAAAACTGTTGAATGAATGAACTTGAAAATATGCCTTATAGTACCTTATAAGTGGTCTGGTAAAAGTTTTTCAAGGACTACATATTGTATTAACTTTTATGGTTTTGACCTACAACTTATGCAACCAAATTATATAAGTTTTCTTATAACACCTACATTGTCAGAATTCAATCAATTTATGTAGAGGAGTTACCAAATATAATTTCATACAATATAAATGAGCTCTCAGAGGACTCTGCCTCTTTGCCTTCTCCCAGGAGGTTTGTTTTGAGCAGATTTCCTATTAGCTTAGTTTCATTCTGCAAGTAAATCTACAAGTAAGAATTTTGTATAAATTTAGTCAAAGTAAACCAACTGCCTGTAGGCCTGTATCTCTTAAATAGCATTTTCGTCTTCCTGTTTAAAATCTTCACGTCACTGAACATACAGTATCTTCATATTAGTGTCTTCATAGCCTTTTTTTTTTTTTTTTAAGATATTTTATTTATTCATGCATACAAGAGCTAGGGTTTAGGCTAGAGGTGTGGGGTGGGGGTGGTGAGAGGATTCACCAGAGACAGTGGGGAGCAGAACAGGCAGATTTGACTGAAATACACTGCTGAGGGGAACAGTAGGTGAGATAGGAGAGGTCTGCTGTGCCATGTGGGCAGCTCCCTAGCCAGGGATCCAGCTCATGTTGCATTGGATGCCAATAGCTTCATAGTGCTAAGACTTAACCCCTTGGACCCCCAGGGAGGCCCATCTTCATAGCCTTCTTAATGAAATGAATCGACTTGTTAAGTCAATTACAGCCTTTTGCAGCTCAGTGTTTAACCATTAACACTTTTAGTGTATTCTTTCTCTTTTAGTCTTCTTTAAATGTCCAACTCACAACGCCTCTTTTTGATTAAAAAAAAAAACTTAGTGGACAAGCTTATTTAAAAACTGCTTTAGGGGACCTCCCTGGTGGCACAGGGGTTAAAGTCACAGCGCTATCAAGCTATCACCAGCCACTGTGACATGAGTTCAATCCCCAGCTAGGGAGCTAACCCACATGGTGCTTCAGACCTCTCCTGTCTCGCCTACTGCTCCAATCAGCAGTGTATTTCAGTAGATCTGCCTGTTCTGCTCCCCACTCTTTCTCTGGTGAATCCTCACAAACACACCCCCACCCCACATCTCTGGCCTACACCCCAGTTCTTGTATGGATAAATAAAAACAAAATCTTTAAAAAAAAAACAAAACCAAAACTGCTTTATTATCCAAACCAGGCCACTTTTAAGAGACAATGCAAGAGCTATTAATAATTGTCCTGGAATAGTAAGCATAAATTAGGACTTTTCTGGCTATAAACTGGGACTCTTCTAGGCAAACGAGGAAATGGCCCCGCCTCATTATCTGTCCCACTTTCTAAAGGCAGCAATCCTTCAACATTTTTAGCTGGTCTAGGCTTTATCTTCATATTTCTAAATAATGTGTTTATAGTCATTTCATGATTTTTCAGTATGTTTTTTCCTGTTCACCATTTTCCTTAAGAGTTCACCCAAACACTGTCATGCCTCCTTTTGGTTTTTTTTTTCCATTCTTATTTCTTTTTTTAATTTAAATTTTATTTTTATATTCCCCATATAATTACAACCCCCTTATTTTTACCCCAATCCCTCCTTTCCCCCCCCCCACCCCCCATAGAGTGTCTCTGGTTCATAGTTATTTGTTGATTTTGATATTTTCTTTCTTATAGTTATTCTTTTTCCTGGTCCCTTATTTAAGTTTTCTAGATTCCTGCTATGAGTGAGACCATCCGGTATTTTTCTTTTTCTTTCTGGCTTATTTCGCTGAGCATGATCCCTTTCAGCGCCATCCATGTTGCTACAAATTGCATGTGTTTATCTTTTTTGAATGCTGAGTAATATTCCACGGTGTATATGTACCACATCTTCTTGATCCAGTCATCTATTTTGGGCATTTGGGTTGTTTCCAAAGCTTAGCTATTGTAAATAGTGCTGCTATAAACATAGGGGTGCAGGTGCTCTTTGGAATTGATGTCTCTGTGTCCTTTGGGTAAATACCTAGGAATGGAATTGCTGGATCATATGGAAGCTCTATGTTTAGTAGGTCAGGAAATCTCCACACAACTCTCCATAGTGGGTGGACCAGTTTGCACTCCCACCAACAGTGCAGAAGTGTGTGTGTGTTTTTAAAATTAATTTATTTATTTATTTATACGAGCACTGGGTACAGTCAGAAGTGCGGGAGGATGAGAGAATTCACCAGAGCCAGAGAGCAGAGCAGGCAGACTGACGAAGTACACCGCTGAGGGGAGCAGTGGGTGGCAGGAGAGGTCTGCGCAACGTGTGGGACCCTTGCCCGACGGCTGGGAATTGAACTGGCGCTGCAGAGGCTGCGGGCAGCTTCGCAACCCAGCGCTCAACCGCTGTGCCACCGGGGAGGCCCCATGCCTTCTTTTGTAAACAGTTTTTTCCTAAGTTAGAATGTCAAATGTTTTAAATTGCTGTTTGTTCTCTATACTTAGCAATTTTTTCCAGTTGCATCATCTGTCATGTGCCCAGTTTCCATATGATGCTTTTTTTTCTTTTATAACTTTGCTTCCATTATCTGTGATCCTGCTCCAACATGAATCATTTGCTCCCATGCATTCAAAATACCTTTGTAACTATTTCTTGGGTTCCTTGACTTTTTTCCAAGTTTTATTTCTATATATGTGTGTATATGTATTTAAAATCTAGTTTGCAGCTAACTCTTATTCTTAGCATGAGTTGAGGAATGTTTAGTGAAGAAAACTGGGAAATTATTCTTACTTTTGAGGAGAGATACACAGGAAGACAAATTACAGCCTCAGTCACGTATTATGATATCTTTATAACAGTATGTGTTAAAAGCATAAAAGAAAACTGCTTGTTTTAAGACTGTGACCAGAAATTGAATGGGGCATGTGTAGATTTTCCAGACACACAATGCCATGTGTTAAGGGGTTGCAGATAATAAAATACAGCTAATATTCATGGTATGCGTACTGCACACTAATAAAGTATAAGAATAGCAAGGGAATCGGGCAAATCATGTAGGATTTTTACGTGGAGAGAAACCGAGTAAGGAAAAGAGCCCAGGATTTGGAAACAAGTTTCATCACACTTTTATCTTGTTTGCTTTATTTTTATGGCCGGTAGGTCCTTTGAAGACTCTTTGGAGAAGAGGGGTGATGACAGTCTCACAGTTTACCCATGCCAGCTATAGTTTGCTTGATTAATTCTTGATTTGAGCTGATGATTAAGGAGGATTAAGAATCCTAAGGTTTGCACATTTTCCCAAAGGCAATTAATCAAAATTTGCATTTTACAGGAACCTTAAGTATGGAATCTAAACCTTCAAGGATTCCAAGAAGAATTTCTGTTCAATCCTCCAGCTCTTTAAGTGCTCGGATGATGTCTGGAAGCAGAGGAAGTAGTTTAAATGATGCCTATCACTCAAGAGACTCTTCATTTAGATTGGATCCTGAATATCAGGTAATATTTTAATTTGGAATATATGCACACAGTCTCTTCAAAAACCTTTGGGCCACATTTTTTTTTTTTTTGGTTCGTTTTTTGTTTGTTTTGTTTTGTTTTTGTTTTTGTTTTGAATCTTCAGGTTAAACTTTGAACCTTTTTTTTTTAAATAATTAATTAATTTATACAAGCACTGGGGTACAGTCAGAGGCGCGGGAGGGTGAGAGAATTCACCAGAGCCAGAGCGGAGAGTAGAACAGGCAGAGTGATGAAATACACTGCTTAGGGGAGCAGCGGGCGATAACTTAAGACTAATCAGTTTTGTACATGTAGGAGTTTCCCATAATGCTTTTCAGTTGCAAACTATTTTTAATGGGTTATAGGAACATTACCAGCCAGAAATCAACTATTTCTATCCTGTTTTATTAGTTTTGATTTAGAAACTGGGAATCCTCTGTATTCTTAAGCAAAGAATTTTGCTTCTATTCGCTCTTCTGTAAAATGGTGACAAGAGCAGCATCCTCATACAGTTTATGTTAAGAATATTTGAAAGAAATAAGACATGTAAAGCACTTAGAACAACAGTGCCTGAAACTTAGAAGTCAGATGTTACCAATTATAATTGTAGCTGCTGTTGTCATTTTCTGACTTTCTGTTAGTCTGAATAGGTAATATCTTTTGAGGTATAGAACATTTTTTATCAGAACATTAAATTGCAATTTGTATAATTTTGATTTAATGGTCTTAAGATTACTTAAGAAAATATGTTGAATGATTGAGAGATCTTTTTGTATCAAAAGGAACTTTTTTAAAATTGCTTTTGCATTCTTCCACCTGTCTACAACATGATACCTCCATTGTTATTCTCTGATACTTAGTGAAGCTGAAGTTTCAGAAAAGAGAGTCAGGCATAGGGAATATTAGATCAATATCAGTTATACTATAAATTAAATAATATGGAATCCCCTATTGTACTTGACATTTTATAGAATATTTTTCAGTTTTAAATTTAGTTAAATAGGACAGATATTATGTCATTTCATAAAGTTCTGAAATCTGGAAAAGATACATGGTTTGCTATAGTCCCATGATTATTATATAATGTACTTGAGTTTAAGAATGTAAGACTTCATTGTTTCTTTGGGAAAAGGTAGGTTCCAAGTTCCGGAACAATTGATTTCCTGAGTATCTTTTGAATCTTTGCCATTTGTAACTGGCCTGTCTCTGTTACTAATCTCACTGATATTTCTGTCACTATAGTTAAATTTTTTACAATTTGAATAATTGAAAAGTAAGTAAGTTACTTAGTAACTAACTTACTGTTACATACTAATTTACCTCTTTGGTAACAGTAAGTAGATTAGATATATTTGAAATAGAAAATTTAATTCCTGTCATTCATTATTAAAAGTAAAAATTTGGGAGTAATTGACAATCTTACTGTTATAAATTTTTCTGTAGCTTAATTTTAAGCAGCCACTAATTCCACTGCACTTGATTGCTTTGTTGAGGTTTTTAGTTTTTAATATTAGGCTTTTATCAGGTTCTTTTTATAGTTGCTTTTTATAGTTATCTACATTTTTTCTAGCTAATAGATCACCTATTAGAAAGCTTAGTATCTGGGCCTCCCCTGGTGGTGCAGGCTGTTGAGCGCTGTGCTGTGGGGCTGTCCACAGCCTCTGCAGCCCCAGTTCGATCCTGGCCAGCTGGTGAGGGTCCCACATGGCGCAGCAGACCTCTCCTGTCGCACCCGCTGTTCCCCTCAGCAGTGTATTTCATCGGTCTGCCTGTTCTGTTCCCTGCTCTGTCTCTGGTGAGCCCTCTCACCCTCCCGCGCATCTGGTCTGTACCCCGGTTCTTGTATAAATAAATAAATTAAAAAAAAAAAAGCTTAGTATCATTACACATTTTGCATAGTATATTTTCTCAAGAATTAAAAAAATCAACAAGTTATTGCTCATTTTTTGCTTATCTGCTATTAATAGGGTAGCTTCCCAAGATAGATGTGTACACATACACAGTTAAACAAGAAAATGAAAGTAATTTTGAAAATAGGAAAATGCAGGTGAAATCCTGAAAACAGGTCAAGGTTGTTACACTGAAAGGCATTCATAAGCCCTGCCATATTTTAAAGTTAAACTTGGACTCTTGTTTTAGCAAGTAGTTAGGGAGATTACAGGCAACACAACCAGTGTATAAGGTATATTCGTAAGGAAAATACTATGGATTCCTTAAGGGAACCGTGTTTGGCCATTTGGTCTGAAAGGGAACAGTGAATGACAGCATGGACAGAGTCTTCAGTGTAGTTAGTATTCATAGTATTTACCTAGTTTCGTGAAACTGTTTCTTGGTAGGTAAAACAGTCTAAACAAAGAACATGCCAAAGTACAGGTCATTAAAATCATTGCAAAGGGGCATTAAAGCGATCTAAATATTAACTACCTAGAGTATGTTGAGGGATAAATGGACTCCTAAGTCCTTCTAATATAAATGATGTGTCTGACCTGAATTTCTCATAAAAATGGGTGTGGATGAGTAGCTCTTGTGCCTGCCTGTGACTAAGTAGGTGCCTCTCTTTTTCTTTGTCCTCTTCCTAATAGACCTGTCCTTCTAAAATGTAAAAAGAAAAAACATTTGGCATGGATGACTTCTTAAGATTAGTTAATGTCTTTTATGATAATTGAGAAAACTATTCACTAGGCCAAGTACTAAACTTGTAGTACAAGACTATTTCACGCAAATAACAGTGTATGTCTTTCATGATAGTGTGGAAATGGATACTCTCTAGTCCATGAATATGTAAAACAAAGGTGATGACAAAGTTCTAAGTTGTTTTTTATGGGTTAAGTTATTGGAAAATTTTCAAAGCAGAAATTGTTGGTTATACTGAAGACATTGAATCAAGGCAATGAAGAGCCAAGGAAGAGCATTTCATTTTGGATCTGCTTTCACTACTGTATGTTATACAGTTTCCTGTAATGAAGCATTGTGTAGAGGACGGTTGCAGCAATTATTTAAGGTTCTTTTTTTAAAAAATAGCTTTATTAAGATGTAAGTCACATGCTGTATGACTCACTATTTAAAGTGCACAATCAATGATTGTTGGTATATTCACTGAGTTGTGCAACCATCGCCTCAGTCAATCTTAGTAGCTTTACTTCACAGATGGATTTTTATACTTCAAGGAGAAAAACCCAAATCTTACTGCTGTCTTATCCCCTCCCTATCTGGTACCATCTACCAAGCACTACCTAAGAAGCCACTGATCTGCCATTATCTGTCTTTATAGACTTCCCTATTATGGACTTGCACACGTATATATAAAAACATAAGTGGTCTTTTGTGACTATTGTTTTAACATTTGTAATTTCCTTTATTTTGTAGCATATAACATTAATCTTTCCATTGAATAGTATTTCATGGTATGGATAGATCACATTTCGTTTATTCATACACTGATGGATATTTGATTGTTTTTACCATTTGGCTATTGTAAATAATGCACCTATAAATGTTCATTAGCAAATTGCTGTGTGGATTCGTGTTTTTATGTTTTCAGTTACCTTGGGTGGAAGTGTAATTACTGAATAATTGTATGTTCAATTAGTTTAGGGAAATTCCAAACTCTTTCCAAACTGACTGGACCATTTTGTTTCTAGCCATACTCTTTTGAGTGCAAGGTGGTATCTCAATATAGTTTTGACTTAGAGTTCTTTGATGACCTATGATGTTGGGCAACATAATAGAAAAATAAAGCTAAGAACTATTTTACTATTTCAGCTATTCATCCTCTGCTCTTCCATGTATGTGCAAAGTTTATTTTGTAGCATTACCATGAAGTCTCTCAAAAGGTAGAAACAAAGGGACTACTTCCTGACCCAGTCTTTGAGGCCAGCATTGCCCAGATCCCAAAACCAGACCTAAATTAGAAGTGAAAACTATAGACCACCATCTTTCAATTTAGACTTTACTATTTTCCAAGCAATTAAAAATTGTATGCCAAATGTATCTTTTTTTTTTAGAGGTAGTGGCTTTTATTTTTAAAAAATAAATGTTTGTGTGTGTGTGTGTGTGTGTATGTCTTGTGTGTATGAAACATCAGTGTTCATTTCTATACAATATTTGATTTCTCAGGCATAGTCCCCATAAAATTCCCACCACCAGTTTACCCAAGAATCATTACCATAGTCCCTTGTGCTCTTCTTGCCCCCGTTTAGATCTCCTTCCCTCACCCGCCCCTGCAGAAAGTCTCTGGTTTCTAGTTGCTGTTAGTTTTGTTATTATTTTTTTCCTGATCCCTTACTTAGTTCCCCTATATTCTTTCTATAAGTGAAGCCATTGATCTTTTTTTTTTTTTTTTTTTTTAAGATTTATTTATTTATACAAGCACTCTGGGTCCAGCCAGAGGCGTGGGGTGAGAGAATTCATCAGAGAGAGCAGGGAGCAGAACAGGCAGAAGGCCCAAAATACACTGCTGAGGGGAACTGCGGGCCTGAGACAGGAGAGGTCTGCTGCCCCATGTGGGAACTCCCTGGCCGGCCGGGAATCGGAACCGGTACTGCAGAGGCTGTGGACAGCTTCACAGCACTACACTCAACCCACTGTGCCACCGGGGAAGCCCCGATATTTATTTTTTTATCTCCTGACTTAGTTCACTGAGCATAATCTCTTTCGGCTCCATCCGTGTTGCTGCGAATGCCATGAGTTTTGTCTTTTTTGATTGATGAATAGTATAGACATCACGTATTCTTAATGTGGTCATCTGTTTGGGGGCATTTAGTTTGTTTCCACATCTGACCTATTGTCAGTAATGCTGCAATAAACATAAGGGTGCAGGTATCCTTTCGAATTAATGTTTTTGTGTTCTTTGGGTAGATTCTTAGGAGTGGAATTGCTGGGTCATATGGTATAGCTCCATTTTTTTTTAAAATTAATTAATTTATTTATACAAGCACTGGGTACAGTCAGAAGCATGGGAGGGTGAGAGAATTCAGCAGAGCCAGAGCAGGGAGCAGAACAGGCAGACCGACGAAGTACACTGCTGAGGGGAGCAGTGGGCATGGCAGGAGAGGTCTACACGCCACATGGGACTCTTGCCCGTGGCTGGGAATCAAACTGGCGCTGCTGAGGCTGCGGGCAGCTTCGCAGCCCCGCGCGCAACTGCTGTGCCATCTGGTAGGCCCAGTAGCTCCATTTTTAGTAGTTTGAGAAACCTCCACACAGCTTTCCATAGTGGTTGCACCAGTTTCTTTTTCTTTCACTTGAAAAACCTTATTTCATAATAGAATATTCACAGTCATTTTGTATCTGTGCCTGTATATCTATTGGTATTCTGTCCATCTATAAGATTATAAAGTTGCTCTTCACTGTTTCTTAACTTAGTATCTATAGTTACATAAAAGTCTTAATTAGATTGATTGCCCAGCAAAGTACAGTACAGTATGTAAAAGTACAGTACAGTATGTAAAAGTAAAGAGAAAAGACGATGAAAAGGGGGAAATAAAGACTAAAGAAAAACCTGTATGATAGAAAGAAAAATGTGCTTGTGAGGAATGGTCGTTAGGAATTTATTGGAGTACTGTGCATTAAATTTAATACTGAATGCAGGTGTCATTCCTTTGTTAAAATCTTGTTTTTTAACTCACAGTCTACATCAGCATCAGCATCTGCATCACCATTTCAGTCTACATGGTTTAGTGAATCTGAGATAACTCAGGGAGCTCGCTCAAGATTGCAAAACCAGCAACGGGATCATGATTCAAAAAGACCTAAGCTTTCTTGTACAAACTGTACATCTACCTCAGCTGGGAGAAGTGTTGGGCATGGTTTGAATGCAGTATCAGGTGAGAATTAAATTTGAATAAGCCATTTTTTATATATATTTGACAAAAGTGGTTTTCACAAGACAATATATTTCGCAGTGTCTCAAAAAGTGCATATAAGACACTTGTTTCTTGGTGAGTAAGGTAGTGGCATTTCACAAATCTTTCTTTTTAAGATTTATTTTTATTTATGCAAGGTAGAACTGGGGTGTAGGCCAGAGGTGCAGGGGTGAGAAATTTCATCAGAGAAGTAGATCCACTGAAATACACTACTGCGTCGACAGTGGGCGAAACAGGAGAGGTCTGCTATGCCCTGTGGATAGCTCCCTGCTGAGGGGTCAAACTCGGCAATGGCTGGCGATATCTTGGTAGCACTAAGACTTTAACTGCTGCACCACCAGGGTAATGCTAGAACTGAAATTATTCTTCATTTAAGTAAACAGGAGAGCGGTTATGTATAGTAATAAAATTGATAAAAGTGGCCTATATTGTGATTGTTACAGAACATATAAATTTTCTGTTATGTGAAAACCAGATTTACTGACATGTTAGAAATAGTTCCTGAGCAAATACTAAAACATTATATATGGTCTTTATTTTCAGAAAATGTAATAATTCTTTAAACAAAATATTTTTTAGTATTCTAGTATAAGTTCTATACAAAGAATTCCAAAACTGTGATTCTAGCCCTCTAACTAGCTTTGTGGCATTGTACTAGTCACCTGACCAACCTGGGATTTAGATGACTTATCCATAAAGCTCCATGGTTGGTATTTTGTACTCACAGACACATATTTGTTGTGAGAATTGGAAAGATCTTTTATTGAGAGGGCAAGGAGATTCCCTCCTCACTTAAACTTCATTTCAAATGAAACGCTAGTCAAAACTTGAAATTTAGTTTTAAAGTGAGACAGGGCTTGTGATGACACAGTTGAAGAATAAAATTTGAAACATATATGTATTACGAGTTAGATTAAAGCAATTCCTTTCTATTTTGATAGGCAGACCACCATAGGAAAGGCATGCCCATCTGAAAGTTACTGAGTACTGTGTTAGGTAATTGCTGACTAACCTTAAATTTGTATACAAACACCGTTGTTCAGAGATATTTTTGTTCTCTGCTCTGAAGGCATAGCATTAAGGCTTTTGGGACCAGAAGAGGAAAAACAGAATTTCAAGATAGTGAGGGGAAAAAAATTTTGAGATTTAATTTTAAATTTATTCTTAAATGCAGTCATATTTAACAAAGTTGGATTATAATTGCCAGAATATATTACTATCTATATTAATTCTTAAAATAGGAATCAACCTGGTATGGTGATAATAGTAATAGTGCCACTTGACAAAATAGTATTGTAACCTATCATAAAACATTTTCCTTTCCAGAATGACTTTGAGTTTGATATAAGGCTATTCTCCAGCATCACTTTTACTGACTTTTCATGAGATTCTGTATCTTTGGCAAACTTCACTTTTTTTTTTTTTTTTTTTTTTTGCTAACATTGCATTGTAATGGTTATTTTTCTGGAATGCATTATTTAAAATTAGCATGTGTATATACTACATTAAATTCGTCACTTGAAGTTTAATTCTGTCCCTCACTATGTGATTGTCAGTTGTCCCTCTCTCCAGATTTACCTACACCTCCTCTTTTCCTTTTTGGTAACCACTAATTGGTTTTAATCATCCAGCAGCTTATTTTTGTTTTATTAAATCTTAACTGTTTATTTCACTAAGTATGATTCCTTCTGGGTCTGTCCATAATGTTGCAAATGGCAGGATTTTAATCTTCTTTATAGCTGAATAGTATTCAATTATTTGTATATGCGGCAACTTCATCCAATCATCTGGGTGGCATTTAGGTGGTTTTCATCTCTTTGCTATTATAAATGTTGCTGCATTAAACATGGGCGTGCATATCTCTTTGAATTTAGTGTTTTTATATTTGGGGGGTTAAAAACCCAGAAGTAGAATAATTGCATTCTGTGGAATTTCTGTTAATTCATTGAAAACTGTCCATACTGCTTTCTTTAATGACTGCACTTATTTGCATTCCCACCAACAGTATATAAGGGTTCCCTTCTCTCCACATACTTTCCAACACTTGTTTCTTCTCTTTTGGATGATAGCTATTGGCACAAATGTAAGGTGATGTCTCATTTTCATAACGAGATGCTAAACAAACTTCCATGTGCTTATTGGCCATTTGTATGTTTGAAGATATGTCTATTCAGATCCTCTGCCCAGTTTTTAATTGGGTTGTTTCATTGTTTTTATTACTAAGTTTTATGAGTTCCTTTTGTATTTTGGATATTGACATTTTGTCAGACAGATAATATGCAAATCTCTTCCATTTAGTAGGATGTCTTTTCATTTTGATACAGCATTTTTGTTCTGCATTCATTTTTCCACCATTGTGTAGTAATACATTGTAGAGACATTCACATAGATTGGGAGGTGGGTACATTTTAGTATTAGACTGTATTTGAATAGGAAATAATTTTATAAGTTATGAATAAATTAGTGAATAATTTCATTTTGCTGAATTTTGTTTCTGACTACAGCTATGTAACTGTAGGGATTCCCACTTATATAACAGTAAACTATCTACAAATGCTCAAGATTTGTTGTCAGAAACCTTAAAAAGTTTTCTTTGAATTAAAACTTGTTTAATTATTTTAAGATTCTTCTTGGAGGCATAATCAAGTTCCCAGATCTTCATCAATGGTACTTGGATCATTTGGAACTGACTTAATGAGAGAGAGGAGAGATTTAGATAGGAGAGCAGATTCCTCCATTAGTAGTCTTATGGATTATAGTCATCGAAGTGGTGATTTCACAACTTCATCATGTATGTATAAACTATATTGTTCTGTATGGCTTATCTAATGATGTTACATTTTCCAGTTTCATTTAATGTGTATTTTATTAAAATTATGGTATAACTTGCCTTACGTAGTGTAACAAGTAACTACAGTGAAATTCTGAACTAATGCTAGAAATCAGTGTTTTAAGTTTTAATTCAAAGAATGACTTTAGTTTAACATGAATGTGCCTTTCTTTTATTCAGTTGAATAAAGATGCCCACTATTTCTGCCAGTATATATAGCTAAAAGTTTGGGTTTTAAAAAATTTTATTGGGTGAAGCCTTTTTTAAATATAATGCAAATGAAAATGTGCTTTTATTTGTTTGACTTTGGATAGAGAACTTTAGTAGAGAGTATCATAATTTGTAGGTTGGTATGGGGAGGGGATAAAATAGAGGATAGAATAGATCTGTCCCCTCCATAATACTTAACAGTTCATCCTTTCATGAGGCTCTATGTATTAGACCAGTAGCAATTTAGTTCTTAAATTAGGTGTGTGGATGAGTATTCTTTATAAGGAATGCTAAAGTATTTCTCACCTATTTGAGTGCTATAACCACCAGTGGTATACTTTTTTCAAAAGTAGGTGTTGGCAAAAATAATTTTTAGGTTAGGGAATGGAGGGGAAAGGGATGGGAGGATTGGGGGAGAAAGGGACATTGACACTCAAGTTTTGGTGGAGGGTGAGTGAAGCCTTCATACATATATAGGTTTGAAAATGTGCTCCAGTATATACATATGTAAATAACTGACAAAAAAAAAATAAAGGTAAGAAAGCAGATGCTACTGATCTCTTCTGACTCTTAGCTCCCAGCCAGTATTTAAAAGCAAAGGTATATCTGATGGATAAACTACTGATGATGACGATAACTACTACTGATAATTTGAAAGAAAAAAGATTGAGGAAACTTAGCTTTCAGCGAGGTTTGCTGTAAAATTAAAAGGGTGATAAGTTACTGCATAGTGAGAAAAATCTCTCAAACATGCTTTTCCTGGGATGATTTTACTTGTATTTTTTAGAGAGTTATTTACATTAAATTGTTTGACTTATTTAAAATTCCTTATCCATTTAGCGATTAGATAGTCTTCTGCCATAGCCGAATAGTAATTTTAACTGTTTTGCTTTCAAGTTTTGCTTGCTTCTCATAAGTTATGATATATTTCTTTTGAAATTGTGGTTTTGACTATACAGAAGTACTGGATTTTACTAAGGGAATGAAAGGAGAACTATATTTATGTTTCCTATAGTAATAATTTATGTGGATATATGACAGCATTCAGTTTGAATCCAGTTTCATTTTGGCAGCAATTGGTAGTTAATATATGGAAATGTAATAATACATTATTTTGTATAATTTGTTCTTTAATTTCTTTCAAAAATAGATGTGCAAGACAGAGTTCCTTCTTCATATTCACAGGGAGCAAGACCAAAAGAGAACTCATTGAGCACTTTACAATTGAATACATCATCAACAAACCACCAAATGCCTTCGGAACATCAGACCATACCATGTTCTAGGGACTCTAGTAGAAATCCTTTAAGATCAAATTTTTCTCCAAGAGAATTGGAAACGCCCTCAAACACTACACACGCTGGATTTTCTTATATTTCAAATAGAGATGAAACCTCAGCCATGAGCAGTTCAGATAGAGTTGGTTCATCTCAAAGATCATTTCAAGAATCTTCTGATAATGAAGGTAGACGTACAACTAGGAGATTGCTGTCACGTATAGCTTCTAGTATGTCATCTACTTTTTTTTCACGAAGATCTAGTCAAGATTCTTTAAACACAAGATCACTGAGTTCTGAAAATTCTTATATTTCTCCAAGAATCTTGACGTCACAGTCTCGTAGTAATGCAGCATCAACTTCTGATGTTCCTGATAATAGGGCATCTGAAGCTTCTCAGGGATTTCGATTTCTTAGGCGAAGATGGGGTTTGTCATCTCTTAGCCAAAATCATAACTCTGAGCCCGATTCAGAGAATTTTAACCAAGAATCTGAAAGTAGAAATACAGGACCATGGTTATCTTCCTCACTTAGAAATAGATGCACACCTTTGTTTTCTAGAAGGCGGCGGGAGGGACGAGATGAATCTTCAAGGATACCTACCTCTGATATACCATCTAGATCTCATCATATTTTTAGAAGAGAATCAAATGAAGTGGTTCACCTTGAAGCACAGAATGATCCCGTTGGGGCTGCTGCCAATGGACCACAAACTTTTGCAGCATCAAGCAGTGCTGCTACTGGTGGCTCCACTTCAGATTCAGCTCACAGTGGAAGAAATACAGGAATAACAGGGATCCTTCCTGGTTCCTTATTCCGATTTGCTGTTCCCCCAGCACTTGGGAATAATTTGACTGACAATGTCATGATCACTGTAGATATTATTCCTTCAGGTTGGAGTTCATCTGATGGAAAAAGTGATAAGACTAGAACTACACCTTCCAGAGACCCAGAAAGACTACAGAAAATAAAAGAGAGGTAAATTGAATTCCTGTCTTAAACCCATAAAGCTAGAGTAGTTTAGAGAAAGAGTGCTATTTCTAAAATAGTTTCTCATAACATTGATACCTGAAATTTCTTCCCTTAAGATTTATGTCCAGTAAGATGTTAATATCTCATTCAGAGGTAAAATGGATGAAAGTTAACGGTAGTAGATACTAAAGGTTACTTTTAATTAGCTTTGGATACAGATAAAGACAGAAATCTGCTCCACTTGTGCTAAATTTGATTTGTCAGGAAGCCCAAATGTCATTGATTTTCTAATCTGTCTTAACCTTTCCTGAGATGATTTATTTTCCATTTATTTGTATTTCTCACCTCAGATCTTTCTTGGTATGAATTAAAATCACTTGCAAAATTTAAAAAATGCTGCTTTTGAAATCCAAGTTGTATAATGAATATTCCTGTGTATCTAAATATTTGACAGAAATAACAGTTTAAATTCAGAGTTCTTTTTATAAATGAAATCTTTGTAGAGTTGAAGATAGATTTAAAATCTCTGATAAGAATGCAGAGATAAATGACCAGCGATTTTACTTCCAACTGGATTATTTTGTTACCTTAGTGTACTTACTTAGTTTTTCCATCTATTAAAATAATTTTTATGATAAAATGCCATAGACTAATCGATGTAAAATACACTTCTAGGAAGAAAAACCATATAAAGCTAAGGTTTTAGGGTACTATAATTTTTTGTTTTTTCCTATTCACAAAAGCCTAATGTAATAAAATTGTTGGAAAGTGTAATTATTTGTTATTTTAGATTATTTTGTACTTTAAGAAGAGATACATTTAAGTCTTAACTCTGGGGTTAAAAGGCTTTTCACACTTTTCAGATATGGGCATTGGGCTGTTACATACTCCTCTGTTTTTCCTTATATACTTCATAATGTCTGTGACTGTCTTCTTCCTGTGTTTGAAATTTGCTGTTTTTCCTTTCTTAGATTTATTTTACTGTAGTGATGTTAGCTTTAATGTTATAGCAATTCCCTCTGATTGCAAGCTGAATTCTGAAGAAAGTGGTAACTATTATACTGCTTGTGCTCAAAGTTCAGTTAATTTAAGTTACATTAATATAAGTGCAGTAGTATAAGCGAAAGGCAAAGCATTAGTGATTTTGACAGGAACACGGTGAATCAGCTCCACTTGTCTGGTTAGATCATTTATAAAGTAGCATTTGTTTATTTTATTATAGAGTCTGTGTATATTCCTTTGTATCTTTTGCTTATACATGAGGATTTTAAAACAATTTACAATGAAATTAATAAGGGTGTAAAAAAAAAATTCAATCTCGCAAGTAAAAAATGCTCAAAATTAAGATGAAAAGAAAGTTTAAAGAGAAAACAATGTTTATGCTTGAGTTTTTATCTCTGGTTAAGCCAGGGTGTGAAAGTCACTTAACCGTTGTACATCTATTCCTCACTCCACACATCTTTTCTAAGATTCATTTAGGAACCTATATAATCTGGGTTATATTTCAGTAACATTTTAGCATTCAGTGTTACCAATTTGCTGAGTATCTTTTCCATTCCAGCAGTGGACTAAGGCAATAGTGATTGTAACAAAATTACTTTGCTTAGATAGCAGTCATTTTGCATTTAAATTAAGCAGTACATGTCGCCCTGTTAAATAGAGGACATAGCTTAATAGAAACTCTACACTTTAAAAGGTAACGCTTATAGAAATCAGCATGATTTAATAAAATTGCTGGGGGTGGGGTTAATGGAGAACTAAATTATCCTTTTGTTTTTACTGGGATTAAATACCAAAAGTTTTCATTTTTGAAACTGTTTTTTGTGGTAATTGCTGTTTATTGTGGGTTTTATTTTTCCCTCACCTAAAGAGAGTTTGAGTAGAAATACCAACAGACATACTGTTTTGCTATCAGGTGTGATTGGAAATGACAAACCAGGATTAAATTTATGATTACTCTGTTCAGGAAATGTGCCTTCTTTTCCAGCCTCCTTTTAGAGGACTCTGAAGAAGAAGAAGGTGACTTATGTAGAATTTGTCAGATGGCAGCTGCCTCATCATCTAACTTGCTGATAGAGCCATGCAAGTGCACAGGAAGTTTACAGTATGTCCACCAAGAGTGTATGAAAAAGTGGTTACAGGCCAAAATTAACTCTGGTAAGAATTACCCTTTTGTGTATTTTGTCCTCAATTTTTTTCCCAAATAGGTAAATGTATGTATGCATTCTAGTTAACAGATCTACCTAGTATTTACTGCTTATCAAATTTATACTTATCAAGTGCCATAATCATTTCTTAAGCAAGTGCATTAAAAAGCAATAGTCTTCTCAAAATTATAGTAGTCTTTTTTTTTTTAGTTCCACCAAGAAATTATTACTATATACATATGTAATACAACTGTAATTTGTTTTATTGGTGACCTACTTAAGATCCTTTTTTTTTTTGGTGGGACCCTTGCGGGTTGCCGGGGATAAAACTGGTGCTGCAGAGGCTGGGCAGCCTCGCAACCCAGCGCTTAATTGCTGCGCCACCAGGGGAGGCCCTTAAGATCCTTTTAGGTCAAAGAAACATACTTAGTATTTACTAGCTATGTGTCCTTAAGATACATTTATTGTCTTTGATGCTGTTGTGTCTACTCTGTTGATTGATTGCCCTTGTTTTGTAATAATGTTGCTGTAAAAATTGATATGTTTATTGAGTGCCTGTTCAGGAGTCAGCACAGTTCCAGGTAAAGGGAGTATAGAGTGGTCAAACAAGACAGACAAGGCACTTGCTCATGTGGTGGTAGTATTAGGTATTAAAAGAATGCCTTGTTGAGGTGAGGACATCTTGACTGAAGGAAGAGGAGCTAGCTATTTCAGAATGAGGACAAACACATTCTCACAGATGAAGCAAACTAGTGAATGACTTTCAGGTGGAAATAACTTAGGTGTGTTTGAGGAACTGAATGCATCTCCATGTGGCAGGGTATAATTAGTGGACTAGGAGAGGGATGACACATTTGAAACAGTTTAGCAGAGGCTAATTCATTTAATATGTCTGAAGCTTGAGTTTCTTTATAGTGTGATGGTAAGCTTTTGAAAGAAAGGGAATGAAATAATCTTATTTATATTTTGGCCGATATGTGCCTAAAGGATTGGGGGTAGGGCTGAGGGAAAACAGAGGAAGCAGGGACACCAACCAGGCATCTATTGTAGGAACACTTGGTAAGAGTTGGTGATAATGGCGGTAGAAATGGATGGGTTCTGGTGTATTCTGGAAGTAGGTTGTGTAAGACTTGGCTACTGAATTGTCTGGAAGGGCAAAGGAGAAAAACATTAGGGGAGGTCATTATTTTTGTCTTAAGCACCTAAGTAAATACTGGTGCCATTTACTGAACCCTGCACCACCAGGGAGGCCCATTTCACATGCAGAATGGAGTGAGTTGGGGTCATATCAGGAGTTCTGTGTTAGAAATATTGTATGTGAACTGGGCCTCCCTGGTGGTGCAGGGTTTAAAGTCTCAGCGTTATCAAATTATCACCAGCTGCTGCAGCATGAGTTCAATCCCTATGCAGGGCGCTAACCCACATGGCACAGCAGACTTCACCTGCTGCTCCCCTCAGCAGTGTATTTCAGTAGATCTGCCTGTTCTGCTCCCCACTCTGTCTCTGGTGAATCCTCTCTCTCTCTCTCTGGTGAATCATCTCTCTCTCTCTCTCTCTCTCTCTCTCTCTCTCTCTCTCTCTCTCTCACACACACACACACACACACACACACAAACACCGCACCTCTGGCTTACACCCCAGTTCTTATATGCATAAATAAATAAAATAAATCTTTTTAAAATATATTGTATGTGAACTACTCTTTCTTTAACTATATGAAAAGGTCAGCTAGGTAGTTAGCCTGGTGTTTTAGGAGCTATTAGCACTGAAAAGGTATAGTTTTAGGAATCATGAGCAAGAGTAAATATCAGATAAATGAGCCCAGGACAGAACTCTGGGTCACCCAAAAATTTAGTGAGAACAGGGAAGGATATCTGAGGAGCAACCTGAGGTTAGGTAGGAAGAAAACTAAGAAATGTATTGTTGTGCGAGCCGAAAGAAGAAAGTGTTTTGAGGAAGGGTTTTCATCAACAACCCTGTGAAGTAGTGCAGAGAGGTCAAACAAAGGAGGTAAAATAAAGAATTGACTATTCAGTTAGACTGATGATAAATTGTGGGTACACAGGAGGAAAAAACGCTTAAAAATATGGATTTATGAGTAACACAGTGAACAGTATATATCTCTGGGGGCGCACTGTGTGGTGCAGGTATGAACTTCAAGAGATTGGTTATGAAAAGAATTTATTAGACCACGAATACCAGGGGACATAGTAAAATGAATAGAAGGGTGAGAAAGGTGCAATATTAGATTAATAAATGTACATGATTGCATGAAATTGAAGGTCTCATAATGACTCAGTGACATAGCAAATAGAATATGAGATAATGGCCTCACTTTTAATTTTAATATGTTAGAGTTGAGTAACTTGTTCAAGCTGAGATTATCAGACTACTTGGAAACTTTATGATAGCAAAGGCCTCTTTGATAAAGGGGTTATATTTTCTTCTAAGCTAGCCTGATTCCAAAGCTGTTGGACAGGCCACTCCACATGTTGCAGAAGCTTCTTGGCTGTGTGGTGTTATAACAGCCTCATAGGCTTTATTAGTCATTGCTCCTGGGTATTATTAAGATTTAATGAGTGTTCAGCATGGCTCTTGATGCTTAGTAAAGGCCCAGAAATGTTAGCTATTACCAAAATGAAACAACTTGACTCACCCTCTGATGTATTTACAATTGAATTTGTTTAGTATTGTGTGGGCAGGAGAACAGATATTACACTGTATTGTTTAACAACCTAGACTTTTTTAGGATTAGATAACCTAGTTTGAAATAGTGACTCCAACGCTTGATTGAATGTATGATCTAATACTAATTCTCAGTCCTGGCTACTAATCAAAATTATCCATTGGAGTTTCAAAAATGTATAGATACCTCAATTCTACTCCTGTACATTCTTTAGTAGGTCTGAGGTAGTACCTCAGTTCCACAAGAATAAAACTGAGAGGCCTCCCTGGTGGTGCAAGGGGTTAAGTCGCAGCACTATGAAGCTATCCACAGCCACTGCAGCAGGCAGGTTTCCCACATGGTGTAGCAGACCTCTCTGGTCTTGCCCGCTGCCCTCTACAGTGTATTTCAATGGACCTGCTTGTTCTGTTCCCTGCTCTGTCTCTGGTGGATACTCTCAAACCCCCTGCACCCCCTTCCCCACCACTCCTCTGGCCTGCACCCCAGCTCTTGTATGCATGAATAAATCTTTGGAAAAAAAAACAGGGTCTCCCTGGTGACGCAAGGGGTTAAGACAACCTATGAAGCTATCCACAGCCACTGCAGCACAAATTCAATCCCCCGGCCAGGGAGCTACCCACATGGTGTAGCAGACTTCTCCTGCCTCGCCTGCTGCTCCCCTCAGCAGTATATTTCAGTATATTTGCCTGTTCTGCTCCCCATTTTGGTGAATCCCCTCACTCCCTCCTTACCTCTGGCCTTCACCCCCTCCTACTTCTGGCCTACACCCCAGCTCTTATATGCATAAATAAAATAAATCTTTAAAAAAATAAAATTGTGGTAAATATACACAATGTAAAATTTGCCCTTTTGGCCATAATTAAGCGTGCAATTCAGTGGCATTAAGTACATTTCAAATATGTGACCATTACCACTGTTTCCAAAATTTTTTCATTATCCCAAAAAGAAACTATGCCTGTTAAGTGGTAGCTCCCTCTCATCTCTCCCCCCAATCCCTGGTAACTTTTGATCTACTTTCCCTCTGAATTTGTTATCACATATTTCATAGAAGTAGAAGCATGTAATATGTAATATTTGTCCTTTTTTTTTTCAAGATTTGTTTATTTATGCATACAAGAACTGGGGTACAGGCCAGAGGATTGGGGGTTGAGAGGATTCACCAGAGACAGAGTGGAAAACGGAACAGGCAGATTGAAATATACTGCTAAGGGGAGCAGTGGGCAAGACAGGAGAGGTCTGCTGTGCCATGTGGGTCACCTCCCTGGCCAGGGATTGAACTCAAGCTGCATTAGCTACAGATTGCTTCATAGTGCTGACGCTTAACCCCTGTGCTACCAGGGAGGCCCTATATTTGTCCTTTTAGTATCTGCCTTTTACTTAGTATGATATTTTCAAAGTGTCCATGTTGTAGCATAATTCCTTTTATAGCTAAAAATGAGTTGTTTTCATCTGGATAAAGGTGGAGCCCCTTTTTTTTTTCTCTCCTGGTCTTGGGTGTAAGTGACTGGTTGTTTGGGGATACTGTGTTATTCAACATTGTTTTCATGCCATCTTGCCAAGGTATTGAAGGAGGAAGCAGGAAGTACATGGCATTCCATTGTCAGCTTCCCACAATCAAGGTATCTGGAGAAAAAAAGTGTAAGAGATATGAAAGTAATGGGTGGAGGCTAAAATACCATAGAGGTAGGATCTCACATGCTCATTAGGTGTTATGGATTGCTATTTTCAGAGACATTGCTGACTTCTGGTATTAATATAGAGTTACTCTCTTCTACTTTTCTATATTATAAACTTAAAAGCTTCAAGAAGGTATATTTTGTGCATCACAACTAAGCTCTTCTTGTAACTTAATTTTTACCAGGTTCTTCATTAGAAGCTGTAACTACCTGTGAACTCTGTAAAGAGAAGTTGCAACTTAACCTGGAGGATTTTGATATTCATGAACTACATAGAGCTCATGCAAATGAACAAGTTAGTATATTTTGCCTAATTTGGTAAGTGTCTGTTCTATGCTTAAAGGACAACTCTTGAAGAAAAGATTAAGTCATGGTCAGAAAACCTGCATTAAAGCAATAAAAACAGTGATAATAATAATCTTAATATAATTCTCTGTTACCGCATTAAGCATTGCTTTATAATTTTTAATTTCCCTATAGCTCTACGTAAGTGAAAGGCAAATAACCAAGTCCTGGCTTTAATTAAAATAAAATTCACCATAATCTTGCTAAATAAACTTGAAAATAATAAAGGTATAAAAAGTAGACCCAAGTGGGCATGCCAAAGTTAATCTTTCCAGAACTTTTTCAGTTATAAATACTTCTAACTTGTAATGTGTTTGAAATACACCAAAAACTAGATTTACATCCTATTTCTGTATTTTTTGTATTAGGAGTTTTTATATGCCTATCTAACTCCTTGAACTCCCTTTCTCCTGTTTCCTTACACTACCACATGCCCGCCATTCCTGCCTCTAACTTTATGTTGAAAAAGTTGCCTTACAGTTATTTGTAGCAGTCTAGCTGTCCAGTATAAACAATGCCAGGGTTTCTCTGATAATAAAATTTTGCAAATATTTTTGTCTTGTTTTCAGATATTTGGCATGTATTGATAACTGTGCCCCTTCCCATAATTGACTTGATCACTGATTTTTGTTTCTTGAAGTTATAAATTAAATGTTTAAGATGCTTAAATTATATTGATAAAATGAGAAGCTCAATATTTCCCCCCTTTTTTCCTATTAAATAATAATCCTCAGGGAGGAAATGGCATTAAAGGAGATTATAAAGATGAATAGAGCAGTACTGTTTAAGTGTGTTAATATATATGTTACAAAATGATTCATGATGATACGATACATGAACATTTGAAAAATACTTTTTAAATGAAGAGAGAATGGACTCCTACCTCCCTTTTTTTAATTAGGTAAAGTTTATATAACATAAAATCAATTTTAAACTGAACATTTCAGTGGTAATAGTACATTTGCAGTGTTATTAAAGAACCACCACCTCTACATAGTTTCAAGACATTTTCATAATCCCAAAAGATAATCCTATACCTATTAAGCAGTTCCTCCCTTTTCTCCTCCTTCCACCTTTCCATGGCAGTCACCAACATGTATTTGATCTCTATGGTTTATCTGTTCTGGATATTTCATAAAAATCATGCAATAGAAGATCTTTTGTAGACTACCCTTTACTTTTAAAATGTGGGAGTTTTAGCCTCTGAAAATTGATTAAAACATGTACACAGATACCAAATATATATAACTTAAAATGGATTCTCAAATCCCTTGAAGCAAATTGTTTAGATTTGAGTTAAAAATCACTGATAAAATGGATGAAACATTAGGCAATTAATATAACACAGATGCCACTCTAATTTTATTCTTTCATAAGTCATGTGTCCAAAATGATTATCACTTTCAGCAAGGAATTGTCTTAAATTTTCAAGAAGTCTGGAGGTGCTGAACATTGGTATTTTAAATAGAAGGGGAAAGAGTATTGAAAGGTGGAATAATGTAAAGAAATTTTCTTTTTTGTCTTTTCAGAATGAGAGTAGGTTTCAAAGGATGGTTTTCTCCTGCCATTCTTCCTTCTATTAAGTGTTCCATCATGTCTCTTAAAGGTGGTTCTTCATCTTTTCAGTTCAACAAGGAATGTTTTTATTGTTCTCCTAGAATTTTAATGACCCACTTAATAAATCTTAAATCATTTAGAAGTGCCTGGAATATTAGGTGGAGTCATTGTAAAAACAATGAACAGTCCTCATTAAATTTCCTGGCTTTACCTTGTTTGTTTTATATGAATCATGGATTCTGTTGATCTAATATACTGTCCTCATTAAATAATTAGTTCAGTGCAGTTTATTTCCTCATTATTCAGTGACTTTATCTTTTTCATGGTGGTCACCATTAAAATATTTTCTTAGATAAATGTTTTCCTTTTAATTTAAAAATAGTAAAGTAATTGAGGGAGACATTTAAAGAATAAGTCAGTTTCAAATTTAAATACTCTGTAGAATCTGATAATCAGATTGAAGGTGGTACTTGTGCATATACAGTTCTTAACTTTAAATGAGTTAATTGCCCAAAGGTACAATTTACAGATAGTTCACTGTATAAAAAATACAGATTAGATTTTTAGTAACATTATATTTGTGATTTGTACTCTTAGCTTCAAAACAGTAGAACAGTTTTGAAGCAAAGAATTGTTTTGAACCACTGCAGATTTCTTTGTGAATGCTGTGAAGGAACAGTTCCTCAGTTATCTTTCTTAGTTCATTTTTGTATTTACTCTTGCCTTTAGGTTAATTATATTACAAAAGGAACAATTGACCTCTCTGAATAGGTCCTAGTTGCAGAATATAGTGACTTAGCAAAGAGGAAAAGGTAATATTTAAGTGAATTTAAACCATTTTTGTAATGAAATCTGTTACTGAGCTTTATGGAGAGCCAGATTATTCATTCTACCTTTAAATGATTTAAAAAGCCCCACTTTTAAAAATAAATCACTACCGAAAGGGAAAATTACGTGAGACTTAGAGAGGATGTTCACGTAAATTGTGAAGGATGCCTTTTTGTTCTAATAGGTGGCACAGTATTCTTTACTAAGACCTGGATATGAATACATTTCCTCTAGTTTTATCAGTATATTGTGGATATCAATCACATGTCTACTCTAATGTTTTATTCTTTTTCTCTTGTTTGCTTCCCTACTGAAGGCTGAGTATGAGTTTATCAGCTCTGGTCTCTACCTAGTCGTGTTATTGCACTTGTGCGAACAGAGCTTTTCAGATATGATGGGAAATACAAATGAACCAAGCACACGTGTTCGAGTAAGTAATATTGGAGTGGGGGAGGAAGGGAGGGTGTGATGCAGCGTTGGCTTTGGAAAGCAGATTGTTTCATATGTTCGAAATCTATTTTCATTGGGGAGCTCTTATGTTGAACTCTTAAAAATAAAGATACTGTAGATTTAATAGAAATTGCTGTCTTCCTTCTATATCAAGCAACCTAATTTTCTCATAAAGGTATTTTAGAAAAAGTAGTAATTTTCTGACTCTTAAAGGTAATTGGAATTTATTTCAGTGAAAATCAGGGAGAAAATTGGAGATCAAGGAGAAATGGTCATTTTAATTTTAAAAAACCTCAAAACCCAGTGTAACTTACAAACCTGAAATTGAACTCCAAAAACTTAGAGTGTGGTAGATTAACATCAATTTATTTGTTACTGTCTTGTGAAGGATTATCATTTTGCTAATTTGTAAGCATACATATTACAAACTACATTAAGATGCAGACTGTTTAGTATTTACTCTGTATACCACTCATTACCTTAATATAATATTTAGGCTACGCTTTCTTAGGTATTTATAAGTAAATGATAATGTTTGCCTCAGTGTACCTGAAGACATTTACACACCCTCCTTTGCCTGCTTTTTATATAGCAGGGGCTAGAATCTGCATCTCATTACTGTAGCATTCTGAACTCTCTATCTGGAAATGTGTTCATAAATACATCCTTCAAACTTTTTTATTTCATGTTACTTTGTTGATAAAAATTTTGCAGTATAATATTTTGAAAATTATTGAAAGCCAATGTATATAACACTGCTTCTAAATTGGTAACTTTTTTCTTACATTATCATCACCTGGGTATTATTCCTGTAAGCCAGATGACTGATTGTTATCATTGAAAGAAAACCCATTCTCAAAATCATTCAGAATTTGAGCAAAGATGACTTGTAAGAACTTTAGAAATCATAGCACCTAAATTTAATTAAGCCATGAAATGATTTCTAGAAAGGTGATTTATCTTTTCAAAATGAATAAACCACATATAACATACACTAAGATCATTTTGAGTAGAGGATTAAATGTAATGCTTCCAGAGATAATCATATATGGATAGGAAAATACTGTGTTTTCTTTAAATGACCACTAAAATTGAATTCATTGGGGTTTATATGCCAAAGGTTTTCTTTTTTTTTCCATAATTTTTTGAAGTGTTACATTATGCAAGAAGACAATACCATTGGATAAAATTATTGTATATGCTCCCAATTACTACATGACTAATAATGATTATATAAAACATTTAAAAAATATCCTTAAGCTTGTAATTTTTGATGTGGGGAAGAAAGATCCCTTTTTAAAGGCTTAAAATGTTTGACTTTTTAAGTAGAAATGAATCTCCTATACTGATTCTCTCTCTAGATCCATTTGCAACATTTAAACTACTGTATTTCTTTCTGCATTGTTTCTAGTTTATTAACCTTGCAAGAACTCTTCAGGCACATATGGAAGATCTCGAAAGTAGGTGGAATTTCCCCTCCCCAGACTTGTTGAATTTACTTATTGCAAATTAAACCCACAGAGTATAATCTAAGTATATACTCTTTCTACCAAAAAGCTTCATTTATAGGCTTTTAATAATACCAAAATAATTGATTTGGGGAATATGGGCTGGGCAAATGACATTATTTCAAAAGCATATTTTAAAAATTGATACTAATTTTAAGGTACAAAAGGATGTAGTTTTAATCACCAGCATTTTACCTTTTTTTTTTTTAATTTAGTTTTGATCATCTTAATTTTAACACTTGTAATCAAAAAGAAGACATGTTTACTAATCAAACTACACTTCTTAATCTGTTAGTTTGGGGTTTTTTTGTTTGTTTTTTTGTTTTTGGTATGAAATTTTTAAGTTATTTAGCTTTGTTAGATCATAAAAGGTTTTCCTTGGGCTTATGTGTACAGTTCCAGGAAAATAGGGGTGAAAGAGTCCTAATTCTTAGTCCATAACAGAAGCCATAGGTTTTTTTTTTTTTTGCTCCTTGTTCAGGTCCTCATGGACCTTTAATAGGCAGCCAGCTCCGCCAGCAGCTCCAATCTCTTAAGATCACGTTCCAGCATTAGGACTTCTACCTGGGCTCCTGTGTGAAGGCACTTAATGCCCAAATCTTTACAGGCATCTATCTGCACAGCCTGCCCTCTTCTCAAAGTCCTACAACCTCCAGGGTGCTTCATACCAGGTGGGCACAGAAATTGGTGGCTCTGGAACAGTTCCTGGGAATCTAAGATTACCCTACTTGTTTATTGTTCTTTTTCACCCAAGGTAACTCACTCCCCATGATCAGATTCCAGTACACTTTCTGAAGTGTTTTTAACTATGTACTCTCAAGTTGATTTTCTTCTATACTCATCTTCAGAATATTTGGGAGTGTTATCTGTAATGTCCATAACAATTTTAGAGAAAGTTCAGGATCCTTTGCTGTAAGGTTTGAGAAGGACTTAGTCTCAGAAAATTTTTAATTCCTTGAATATTCTAAGACTTGAATTTTTGTCATTAAGTCTTTAATGTTTTAAAGTTTTAAAAGTATTAATAACCAGATAATACATTTTTGCAATTTTAATTAGTTTGTGTGAAAATAGCAAAGGAGTCAAATGGTTTATGGAATGGGAATTCATTTGATTGTAAATCATTTTTCTCTTTCTTTAGTACTGATCCCTTAATTTGGGGGAATACTAAGATCTCTCTCTTTTGTAAATCATATTTTATACTTTGCCACGCGTGATGATGGTAATTTGTTTCACTGTGCATTTTCCCTAGATTGCTTTTTTAAAACTAACATTTAGAATTTAGTTTCCTAAACAAAACAGTGTCTACTCCCAACATGTGAGAGAGAGGAAAAAGATGGAGGTAAAATATGCTCAAATTCAGCTGAGAGTGACAGATGTTACTAGTACATGTTAACTCTTAAGTAGTACTTAGGAGTGTTAATCTAGTCTGAAAAATGGTTCTGAATGAATTACTTTCTCCTGTGGAGTTAGTTACTCGAAAGAAAACATAAGAATTTCTGTGAAAAACTATTTTATTTTCAGTTTGTTTTTCCATACTATCACATATAACTTAACTGTAGAATTTATCTCATTCATGAGTTAAGTATATGTTTGATACCATCAATTATAAATGAATTCAGCAAAATAAGCAAATAGACTAAAATATGGAAACTTGAGTTTTCATCAACACACGGAATAGTTTTCTTGATTCCATTTGCTGGGTACTCATAAATTTTCTAGTATTAATACAAGAAGAGTATACATTTAACTTTTCTGCTCCCCGCTTGTAGTTCGCTTGTTTTCTGTGAACTTCCATTTTCCTTCATACACAGAGTTTACAGAATACTTAGTGTTTTTTAGTACGTTCTTCTTGAGGACATCCCAGGATGTTTTATATGAAACTCTTGAGTCACTAATAAGTGAAATAAATGTTACATAAATGATAAGTTTCTGACAGTGTAGAGGTATAAGAATAATTTCAACAAAAATGTTTCTTATTAAATCCATTTGTTTTGACTTGGGCTATGTCTATATAAAGTTTTTATTTACTAAGTGGAGCTTTTTCCTGGCATTGTATAGACATAGCTTTGATGTAAATTGCAAGAACACCCATAACTTACTATTCTATGTACATTTTTTTTCATTTTCATCGGATGCATCAAACATGCAGCAGTAATAAGCCAGATTCTGCTCAGGTGTGTGAGAACACTTGCCTTAAGTTCACTTTCTCTCTAGTATATGTACCATTAGCTCCTATGAACACGAATTGGTCTCAGAAACTTTTTAGAACAATATTCTTGAACCACATTTTTAAACATTTTCATTTTTATAAAATAACAAAAAGTGTGGGGTGGGGACGTTGTATATGGATATCATCTCAGTCAAACCACCCTAACCCTGTCATGGTAACTTACCATTTTGACCAAACAGTTTATTAAATTGGGATTTTTATTTTATAAATCATTGCTGTTCTGGCTTCATATTTACACCTCCATTCTCCTCCCCCTTAAAATCATTCTTGATCATCCTGTTTTCTTTCAACAGCTTCAGAGGATGATTCCGAAGAAGATGGAGACCATAACAGAACATTTGATATTGCCTAACTTCATATAAGACAAGGATTGTCTGTGAACAAGTGTGTTTATTAAAACTGGCAATTAAGTGTGAATTACTTTTTTTAGGAATGCCTGTTGAATACATTGGCTATATATATATATCATGAATATATATATACACATATATGCATGTATATATATATTCACTCACAAGTGTTGCTGAATTAAAATTCTATTACTGGACCGGTTAACATGGCCAGTGAATCTGATGTTTATAAACTGGTAATCAAAAGTATTTTTCTTTTAGGTGAGTGGGGAAATGTTAACCTTGTTTTAAATATCTAACAATGCTGACGACCCTTTTTTGTGTTCTGATTACTGTAGTCATATTTATGAAAAAAGGTTCGTGTTTTAGTCTCTTGCTAGTGAAAAAAGTGGGACAAAGTATACTTTTGAAATAAAATGCCTAATGGCACGTAATTATTTTTCCTTTTAAAATGCCTTAAGTTACAGCCTCGTTTTCATAATCATTTACTTCCAGTGTTTTACAAAAACAAAATGGGGAGGGGGTATAATGAGCATTATATTAGGTTTCCAAATTTGATTCTAAATTCACTTAGCAATAAAATTTAATTTTTAAAAAGCATTTAAATATAAAATGTATAAATGATGGATACCTTTTTGTATTGATTCGCAAATGAAGATTATATTTGATAGGCCATAGTATGTAGATATTCCTTTTAGGAATATTACAGCTGTAAATTAAATCAGAATTGCCAGTCAAATACAATTTGGTTACAAGAAATCTCAAGTTAATGGAATATTTTTAAATCCCACATTCAGAGTTTAAAAACACTGGTTTTCAATGTGTTGTTTTTTTTTTTTGTTTGTTTTTTAAGTGTTGTCACTTCTTTATAGATAAATATGATATAAACTATTTAGATCCTGGACCTTTATAACTGTTCCTTGGTAATTCTGAGCATTTATTTAATGATTTAATATTTTTCATTACCTTTGGAGAACATATGAACATTATTCACCATGAATAAATCTATACTGTGGCCATGAGTTATGTATACTTCCATAACTGTATATTTCCTCTGTCAACACCCATAGGATATATTCAAAAACACCTTCGGGTGGTTTCTGATTAAATAAAGTCTTAGGTCATGGCAGCGAAGTATTTTTTCAGAACCTAAGTCAAAACCATGTAATTTTTCAAATGTTAAATAAACAGTTTGCCCACACTTAGTTGTTTGTTCTTATGTAAAACTTTGGCTTGAAATAAAGTGCATAGTGATTGAGTTACTTTAGAGTTTGAAATGTTTCTTTTTAAACTGATGCTTAAAGAAGACCTCAACCTTCTAGTCAAGAACTAAAATTTCAAATCCCATTTTGTACGAAAGTAATGTTTTTTTAAACAGTGGTTCAGTTTTTACCTTTAGTTTTACATGACCTTATTTGAAGCAAAAATTTGAAATTGAAGGATGCCTATATGTATTGAACTTTTATAAATAATGCTGCCATTTATAAATGGCAGCTGAAGGAAACTTTTCGTGGATCTTTAGGTATGTTTTGAGTTGATACTTTTTAAACATTTATACTTTTAGTAGAACTTGGCATGGAAATGAAGTGTCTTCTGTTCAACCCACAACATTTTTTATTTAAAGATTTTAATTGACACAAAAAATACTCCATTGATGTGTGTATACAATTTTTTATAGTTGTATTAAATTCCAATGACAGATAAACAAGCGATAGCTTGAACTTCTTAGTACTTTTATAGTTACTATTATTCCTAATATTTTAGTATGTATTAGCTTCTGAATTCCTGTAAATGTGATTTAGAAGGAATAAGAAAAGTCTGGTAATTGGTTATCACTTTTTAAACTCTGAAAAAGAAAGCATACATTACTCATTATGAAGACTGTAAATTAGTAAAAAGATGTAATTAAGCATAATACACTCAAAATACCTGTCCAACTTTTCAATAGTTAGAACCAAGATGTTGAAGAAAGAAATTTCTGCATTCTGGGTTTCACCAAAAAACAAGATTATGTTCTTGTTAATGTTAAAATCAAGTGCCTATTACAGATCATCTGAAATACAACGAAAATTAAGGTTTATTAGCACTTCATTACCAGGGGCTTCTAAAGACTTGCTTGAAAAATTAAAAAGGAAAATTAATCACAGTTTAAAATTGTTGGAGTTTTTCCTCACTATCTGTAAATAAAACATTCCTGTTTGGCATGATTTGGTAGGGAGCAATCAATATTTACCTATAAATTAATGCCAATAGCACTCTGAGACCCCCAAAATAACCTACTGAATCATACCAAATAGGAATGTCTACCTTTACACAGTGGGGAAACCTGTATTTTGGAAGAGCTGCCACTAGGTAGAAATTATCAAAATGAACAGAAGAAAATCTAATCTTAGTTGTATGGGTGTTAGTGGAAGAGGAGAGTCTAGAGTATTACTTTCCAATAACACTTTCTGTGATAATGGAAATGTTCTATAACTTGCATTGCCTAATATGGTAGCTACTAAATGCATGAAGTTTGAGCATTCAAAATGTACTTAGTACAGTTGAGGAACTGAACTTCTAATATATTTAAAAAGCCACATGTGACTAGTGGCTACTATATTCAACATTATAAAGAAAGAAAAGGTTGATCTTAGTTCTCAAAGAACCGGTAGACTTTACATAGAAAATATGCAAATGTCAGTCATTTAATGTTCACCATTAGCGCTATTAAAAGCCTATCTATCAATAATAGACTGCTTGATCACCACAAAATCTCAGGAATTTAAAGCTGTTATAGAGCATAGTTTAGTATAGCTAGTTTAACATTTGCTTTTTTAGTAGCATATAACCACACAGTGTAGTTTTGTGTTATTTATTTATATTTAATAATAATGCCACTAACTGGACGAAGAACTTTTTCAATCCATAGTGGCTGGTGAAAATGGCTGGACTTTGTTGCCATTGGCCAAACCTGATCATTTGTTTTCCCCATCAGAAATTATTCCTCATGAGATAATTGATGGGGTGTGGGCTGGGGAGAATGCTTTCCTTGAACTTTTAAAGTTTCTAAATACAGTACAGATACTTCAAACTGAAAACTTTGAGCATCATCACAAACAACAGTAGTGTCTATTTTCTGCAGTTTCTGCTTAGTTTTCATGTCATTGGATGATAGTTTATCAATGCACGAAATACCTTACATAGATAGAAACAGGTATGGTGGCAGGAAAAAAATGTTAAAGGGAAACTGATAAAAGTATCACCCTCACTGCCAGCCTCCAGACCTCCCTGGTTGGGCAACTTTTTTGTTTAAAAGTTAAAAGTTTCAGAAAATAGAATAAAATTCTAGACATTCTAGATCAATGTGATCCAAAATGGTATTTTTAAAGTAATGAAATCGTAAAGTGTGCAAAATGTGTTAAAATCTAGTTTTTTACATCTTAATCATAAGACAAATATTAGAGATCTAAATGTTTAGAATCCATTCAAAAGTCAGGTTTATTCTCTACATGTTTTCTATTAATAAAGGAGCAAGGCTTAGGCTAGGATTGCTTAGAACTACATGTAATGGTAGGATAGCATATTCCTGAATATAAGGACATAAGTTTAGCTAAGGTAGTTAGACCAAATGGAAAGGAAAATATTGAGCAGACTTGGTAAACGGTTTTTTTTTTTTTTTCATTTGTTTTACAATTTGGGCTTTAAGCTTTCCTTCAAGTATAAGGTACATTTGGGGAAATGGTTAAAAACCCCTACTGTAAATCATTCCTTTTTTAAAACCTTATTTTTATAATGAATCTGAAGATTAATTTTTGTGACACTGCATGAGAATAGAAAATGTTAATGAAATATGGAAATATACATAAAAACAATTTTCATTGTCAAATTTTATATTAGTCTTGCACAAGAAACACTGTCAAGGTATTTGATTGTCTTAATCTGAGATTTCTAAAATCTTAATCAAATTGAGCAGCATATTCATTTTCTTCGGCAACTACCAAAACACAGTCATCATTATAAGATGACTGGGATACACTTGAAAAGACTGTGGTGAAACCAGAATCCAAATTCCTTTTGTACAAGAACCAAGCAACTGCTCCCAAAACTGTCAAAATTACTGTGCTGGCAATCACCAAAGCTGATATTAAAATGTGGTTATCTGAAAAGACAAGGAAATAGGGAGATCAAGTTCATAAGTTGCTTAAGTATTGCATTTAAGGGAACATAAGTATAATCATAAGAATATTTCCTTATTTTGAGAATTTCCTACAATAACAAATATATACATTGATTACATCCAGATTTATATTTCTTAGCCTGTACCATTGCTGTATTTTAAAATTTCAAGTAAACCTTACAGTTCACTATATTATAAGACCCGAAAATGGAAATTACCCACAACATTCAGGGTAAACCACAGTCCTATTTTTCTCCCTTGGTTTTTCTAAGACTTCAAATATAGATCTACTTCTAGATATTTGTTACATTAGAGGCTAAATGGTTCATTTGGCTTTTGGGAAATTTTAAGATTTGTTTCACTGAAAAAAACACCAAGAATGGCAATAAGTGTCTCCCTTATTTTTTAAATTTATTTGAACTGCATTTGTGTGTCCGTGAAGTAATTATGTACAATCTTGTAGTTCTTGGCTCTTCAAAACGTTTATAACCCTTCTGTAAGAATTTAGTTCAGTAAATCAAGGGAAATTACTTGTTTTTAGGAATTGGGAGGAAAATTTTTTTTGGGGGAGTGTTTGTATTTTGTAATAAAAGATCCAAAATGATATGGGAAAAAATCCCAGAATAGTTTTATCTTTACAGAAATATTTCTGCATTGTAGAAATTACACTCAATACTCATTTCAGCTGGTGCTTATTATAGTGAGACCTGGATAATTTAAAACTTAACAAGAATCTGGCCAAAAGGCATCAAGGTGAAGGATAGCCATTGGTATTTTTTAAATATTGACGGGATTTTCAAAAGAAAACAGTTGGGAGGAGTGAGAAAATTGCCTCAGCCACGTAATTTGGATTAATAGATAAAATTTTGTAGTGATCACAATTTGTTAAGGCATGGGACATTTTTAGAGATGTTTAAATAAAAAAATGTTATGCCAAGAATTCCATAAATTGCATTTGAAAGGATTTCTTTCATAGCTAATTGTTTTATTAAACTTGAAACTTGATAAAGCCCATTTGCAGTATAGTGTCCTATTTTACCAATGTGAACATGCTGATTTTAATTCAATCTATTAATGACTTACAATATAGATTCATAATCAGTATTATTTACTTAAATAGTAATTATCTGATCACAGCTCAATACAAAAAAAGTAGTCTGAAAAAGCATGATAGCTGAGACAATAATTTACAGGCATATAGATCTTAACAGTAAATTAAGAGATCTAGTATCCTAAGAACTAAATAGCATCCAGGGCCTCCATAGTGGCCTAAGGGTTAAGTCTCACTGCTATCACCATTATAACCTGAGTTCAATTCCAGGTCAGGGAGCTAACCCACATGTGATGCAGCAGACCTCTCCTGTCTCTTAGCAGTGTATTTAAGCAAATCTGCCTCTTCTGCTCCCTGCTCTGTCTCTGGTGAATCTCCCCACACCCTGGTCTACAACCCAGCTCTATGTAAAAATTTAAAAAATAAAGAACATCCAGCATTTGGTGGGACACAATCAGTACATTTGCTCTTGTATTTTTACTTCCTGCAAGTGTCCTGTTTGCATAGAAGAAAGCTAATCTTGAGGCAATGAATGAGCAGTGTATTAAAAAGGTTTTGCATCTGGAGAAGTAGATCTATACTAGAAAATCTACCTACTCGTTAATTGAAAATCCATTGCTTATTTTCCTGAGTAAATAATTGCTATTGTCTTAACTATCCTAATTCAGGAAAGCCAAAACAGAAGGTAATTCTTTAATAGAAGGAAGTTGAAGAAACCTAAAGTAAACATACCTATATATACTGAAACATACGCTGTTTCCCATCATTTCTCAAACTCATACAATCTCTCTCTTAAAACCAAAGTCACCAATGCTCTATATTAAGTGCAGAGACACACAGACATATTTCAATTATTTTATCTGCTGCACCTGTCTTAACCACCCACCCTTGAGATATTCTCACCTGAAATTGTTTATTTTCAGACTCGAAATTTCCCTTGGTTGAGCTCAACCAATTGAATCTAAAACCTATCTATAGATAAGTGTGTGCTGCTGGTGCTTGCTTTATTCCGTGTCCATTTTCTCTTGAATTCCCCTAAGTTATGACCTCAATAGCTACTGCAGTCATCCAAACTAGGAACTGTAGATTTTCCTAAACTAATCAAGTGTACATATTCTTTTTAACCTTTTTCCTACTTGGTCATTATTCTTCCTGTCACCTTCATATTCTAGTTATGCCCAAAGTACATAATCCACCTTTTAAAAATGATAGAAACTATATTTTAAACTAGCATTGCAAGATAATTCAAGTGCCGAATGTATATACACAATATATTTTTATAACCCCCTTTTACTATTAAAGAAATGATTTAAATAACTTGCTTAGGTCATTTTCTTAAGTAGCAGAACATAAATTTAAAACTATTCACTGGTTTATGCTGATCCATCCTCCCTTTGATGACCCTTTTTTCTAACTAGTATCTACTTGCATTATCTCCAGTAAGCCTTATATTGAACCTAGTTTGGGTTAACGTCCCCTTCCTGTATGCATTTTATTCTATGTGCTTCTAGCACAGCCACTTTCTTTTGATGTCATTCTTCTTTAGAAGCTCTTCTAGCCTACACCTGTATGAAAGGGAACTCTGCCAAGACTGCTACACCACTTAGCTCTTAGTTTGTCTCCTGGTTGCTTCAAATGAGTTTTGTTAACTCCTTAAAGTCAAACTAAACCTAATCCCTTTCTGTAATACACACTCTCAAACATCTTTTCACTTCCTTTAGTGAGGTCTTCCCTGCCCACACTACTCAAAACAAGCAACACTTCCCTTTCTTCCTGATTCTCATTCACCCTCTCTTTCTACAGTGCATGTCACTATCTTACATAGTCACCCTATTAAAATGTATACTCAAATGCAGAGGCTTTTTCTGTTTCAGTCACTGCTGTGTCTTCAATGCCAAACATCAGGGAAAAAACCTGGATATAATAGTTACACATATATATGAAATTTTTTTTCCTAATAAATACGTAGATAATACTAAAGACCAAATGTTTTTCTGGATTTTTCAATTATTGCTGGCATGGTTTTGTGACCCATCACAGGCCCACCTGTGTTTCTCTAAATGTTGCAATTTAAGGCTGAATAATAATCCATTGTGTATATATATAAATGAGCAAAATGTGTATATGTAGATACATGTATCTACATATACACCACATTTACACATATACACCACATTTTTTGCTCATTTGTTTGTTAATGGATACTTCCATCTTTTGATTTTTGTGAAAAATGCTGCTAATGAGTCTGGGTATAAATATATCTCTTTGATACCTGATTTCACTTCCTTGGGGTATACTCTGAATTACTGGGTCGTATGGTAATTCAATTTTTAATTTTAAGGAGCTTCTAAACTGCTTTCCATGGTAGCTGCAGCCATTTTACATTCCTGACAATAATGCACAAGGATTCCATCTTCTCAAAAACCTTGTTAACATTTGTTATTTTCTTGAATAACTATAAGAAAGTGAAAATCAAAATCAACAAAAAACTGTGAACCAGAGACACTTTTTTTGGGGGGGGGAGGGGAGGGATTGGGGTCAGAATGGGGGGGTTGCAAATGTATGGGGAATATAAAAATAAAATTTATTATTTAAAAAAAAAATGTTATTTTCTGATTATCAACCTCATGGTGTGAGGTAGTGTTTTGCTTGATTTTTTAAAGATGTTAACATTACTCATCTATCATAGTTATAGTAAGCCCCCCAAACTGAGAGAAAATACTTATCAGATACCTGACCTTTGTATTAAGGATTAAAAAACAAAAAAAAAAAAAAACCCTACCAATCGATAAGAAAGGCAATCCAATAAAAAGGGCGAAAGACTTGAACAGATATTTCACACACACACAAATATCCAAATGGCTAACGTGTAGTGTGTGTAACATCAGGATATTGAGAAAAGTACAGTAACATCACCACACACCTATCTGATTGAGTAAAATTAGACACAGTAGCAGCATGAGATGAATGAAGACTGAATGGAACTCAGACTATAACAGGAATGTAAACTGATTCAACTTTAAAAGTTATTTGATGATTTCTTATAGAGCTAAATGTTAGCTGCCCTGTGGCCCTGCAATTCCCCTATTTGGAATATACTGAAATAGGTTCAAAAAATGGTATGAGAATGTTCATAGGCAGCTATATCATATCAATTCCAAGCTAGAAACAAGAGAATGGGCAAACTGTGGTGTATTTATAAAATACTATGAAATTATAGAAAAATATACACAGTGTGGATGACAAATTTTCTGAGTGAAGCCAATAAAGTTAACTTTATGTGAAGTTCAAGAACAAATACTCATGGGAATAGGAGACATAATTGTAGTTTCCTATGGGGTGGACAGTGGTGGGATGGACGTGTATTGGGAAGGGCATGAGGGAACTTTGTGGTGTTATTCTATGACTTGATTTTTTTAAAGATTTATTTTTATTTATTTATGCATATAAGAACTGGGGTGCAGGGTGTGAGAGGTTTCACCAGAGACAGAGTAGGGAGCAGAACAGGCAGATCTACTGAAGTACAATGCTGAGGGGAACAGCGAGTGAGGTTTGCTGCACCAAGGAGTTATCTCCCTGGCCTGGGAGCCAACTCAGGCCTCAGCAGTGATAAGGCTGACACTTAACCCCTACACCACCAGGGAAGCCCTGGATGACTTGATTTAAGTGGTAGTTAACACAGTTGATACATAAACAACCATCAAGCTGCACATTTTATCCTGTGTTAATGATACCTCAAAAATACAAAGAGTAAAACTATACCATCCAATTGGTAAAAATCTAGAATTTCATAGACATTCATTTACTATGCTGAGAATACTAAGTAGCATATCTTCTTATACAGTATCAAAATCAAAGTTACATACTGATTTTTTTTTTTAGAGGCATGTTTTATTTATTTGTTTTGTTTATACATGCACTGGGTACAGTCAGAAGCGCGGGAGGGTGAGAGAATTCACCAGAGTCAGAGCGGGGAGCAGAGCAGGCAGAAGGACCGAAGTACACTGCTGAGGGGAGCAGCGGGCGGCAGGAGAGGTCTGCGCGCCATGTGGGACCCTCCTCAGGTGGCCGGGGAGCAGCCGGGGATCGAACCGGTGCCGCAGAGGCTGCGGGCAGCTTTGCAACCCAGCGCTCAACCGCTGCACCACTGGGGAGGCCCTACATACTGATTTTCAATCCAGCAGTTATATTTCATTCAATCTATAATTTTTTGCAGGATTGTTCATGTTTATCATAGCAAATATTTTGAAACAATCCAGTAGGGCTCTGCAGCTGGTTTAACATATATATAGCCACATAATGGAAGAGTATACAGCTATCAGAAAGAAGAACAATTTGTTGGTAATAATACAGAGATCTTTAGGATATACTAGTGAACAAAGGGCAAAATAAATTATATATATATATATGTATATATATATCTGCTCATACTGGCAAAAAGAAACACTAGAAGTTAAAACAGAAACTGAAATGGTATGTGGTAAGGGAAAAGGTAGTTAGAGTGGATGGGAGGCAAGAGTTTGCCTTTTGAAGTTTAGCTTTTTTAAAATATTTTACTGAAGTAACATTGTATTATAAGTTTCAGGCATGCATCATTCCAAATCAAGATCTGTATATACTACATTAAGTTCACCATTAAAAGTCCATCTTTCAATATGCAGTTGACCCTTTTTATCTGATTCCACCCTCCCCTTTGTTTTTTGAGCCATTTAAATATATTGCCTGTTGTTTTTGAAAATATACATTTAATAAGCTCTTAAGACATGTGCTGCATGAATTGAATTACAATTATGAGGTGATTTTTTTAAAAAACAAAAGATGCAGTCATTTTCTCAATTCAATGAGAAAAAATGATTCAGTGTCAAAAATGTTCATTTCATATATACCCTGTTGTATTTAAAACATAACTAAGACAAGAGACCTTTCTCATAAATCTGCCATAAAATAGTTTACATCACTGTATAATTTTTAAAAGGGGATCTGTGGTGTATTTTAACACACTAGTATCAATATAATTTCACTTGTGGGAAAAAAATTTAAGACAAGAACATTACTTACCTGATAAATATTTCTTTTCATATGGGACTAAAATATAAAAGAAAATCAAAATAAAAATTTTAGTATGCTTTATTCTAAAATTGCTTTTATTTATTTTTTTTTTTTTTATAGAGGCATGCTTTATTTATTTGTTTGCTGGTTTGTTTTGTTTTGTTTTTTGTTTATACATGCACTGGGTACAGTCAGAAGCGCGGGAGGGTGAGAGAATTCACCAGAGCCAGAGCGGGGAGCAGAGCAGGCAGAAGGACCGAAGTACACTGCTGAGGGGAGCAGCGGGCTGCAGGAGGGGTCTGCGCGCCATGTGGGACCCTCCTCCGGTGGCCGGGGAGCAGCCAGGGATCGAACCGGCGCCGCAGAGGCCGCGGGCAGCTTCGCAACCCAGCGCTCAACCGCTGCGCCACCGGGGAGGCCTAAAATTGCTTTTAAACACTGAAAGTAATTTAAAATGGACCCTTTAATAGCTTAATACTATCCATATTTCTAATGCTTGGCTGCTTGTGTTATCTGTTATGAACTTAGCTTAAAAAAATAGGTCTAGCGTTACTGCTTATTCTTGTGTCTTTTGTGAAGTTATCTGTGCAGTTACTTAACATGGAATTTTATGAGGATGAAAAGAGGATTCATTGATAATTGTATATCCATACTTCAAAATGAAACAATGCTTATATTATTATACCCTACCTTCAACATAATCCAAATATCTACAAAGTATGTATTGTGTACTCTTATAAAAAATTTTCCATTCTCCCTAAAGAACTAATTTTGGCTAAGAGCGAATAGAGTTTAGGGGATAATCCTCCTTTTCTCCCATTATGCAAACTGTGTCCTCTTTCCCCCAGTTTTACTCATGTATTGCTGTGTTCTACATCATTTTTTGACCCATGGTATTCTATTGTGAAATGTTACTTCTCTATGTTAGAATCTTTATTTCTATCTAAATACATTGTAAATCTCTGTGATCTGTTATATTTCTCAAGATTTGCTTTGATAATAATAAAATAACAAGTCCATTGAATACTTAAAAAAAACAGGTCTCGCAAATGCTTTAGCTTGATTGGTAGAAAAATGAGAAAACTCAAGAAAAAGATGATGAGGTAAAGAAAATAGATTTTGATTGGAGAGTCTGTAAAAAACAAACATGGTAAAAGTGATGTATGCAACTATGACTTTCAATCATTAGTATGCACTTGCTCATTCCTTCTGATATTTGAAAGTTATAGTTTAATTTAAAATTGGTCTATATAATGGTGCCCTGAGGCACAGTGCATGAAAAGAACCAATACTAAAAAAAAAAAAAAAAAAAACAAATAAATAAATATCGGAAGCTGAATGCTACTACCACAAAACTATGACAAATATCACATAATCAGTGTAAAACTGATTTTAGTCAAGAACCCTACTATGTCAATTTAAAAAAAGTATATAATTTGAGATGTATAGAAAGGAATAGAGACAGACATTTGGTTTTGGTTTACAGTTTGATGTGAAGGGGGGAAAAACTGAGGATATAAAGTGGGGAAACTTGTTATGTTTCAAGTATCCCAAAATCACAGTTTGAAAGTTTGTTTTTAATGAGTAAGGAATTCTTTATAAAAGTTAGAAGAGAAAAAAATTTTATCTAATATTTAACAATAACATCAAAATGTGGAATGGGATAATTTTGGTCATCAGAAGGCATTTTGATGTATCAGGTGAAAACATTTTAATCCTGAATAAATTATAAACAATTTTTCTTTGCTTAAAAAAAGGATGTTAGGTTTTGGACAGAATCAAATTCTTTGTAAACTAACAGAATTCTGGAATCAGACATGATTATCCTTCACCACTTCCACTGTTCAAATCACATACAGGAAGGCTATAATAATTCCTATGAAGAACAATGAATTTTGACCTCTTGGTTCACATAATCTGGCCCAAACTCTGAAATTAGGAGGAAACCATCCTAATATATTCTGAAGTCTTACTCCCTCTACTTATTGGGACATACTTATCTCAAAGAAAATTATTTTAAGACCAGTCTTATTTCAATCATACTTACTAGTTGCTTTACAGAGAGTTCCTTCCACAGAAGAAACTTCACAATTTCCTTTTTTCCATTCACCTGTCTCGGTATGCAAAAAGGCACAGGTGTCAACTAGATCTTCACCATCTTCTTGGTCTGTCCACTTATCAAATGTCATATTTGACTTATCAAACCACTTGAAACTTGAATCTGTCAGTTGAGGAATATTTTCAATATTATGACAGTATATGAGAATGTGTTTAAAAGAAGTCAAAGAAAACAGCCTAAGATTAAAAGCAGGAAGTTACTAAGGTCTGTCTTATGATTGTAGGAGTTAAATTCAAAGGAGAAATATAGCCTGGTTACAAATCAGAGATACTGGTCAGGAAATTTCTGAAGATTCCATTTTTGTAAAGAAAAAAAAATAACATTTTCCTAGGGAAATAGCTAAGAAAAACCAAACATACATATATGCTGTAACCTTAGTAGTTTCATTTTGAAAATATTCATGTACTTTCTATTTTCTACAGTAACAATATGTACATTTGCACAATATAAATTTGATAGCTCAGTCTATGCATATCTTATTGCCTCCCTATTATAAAAATAATTAGCCTATAACCACATTTTAATCCAGAAAAAACAATCAACTTTGACTTTCATGTGTGAAATACACTGAGCTGATCGAAAGAAAGCTGCAGTACAAGTCATAGGTACATACTGAAAATACAACACCTCAGACCACAGCAATATCAACTTGAACTAGAAAATTTAAAAAATTAAAGTCATCAGTTTTACTAACATTAAAAAAAAATGTCCCAATAGGTAAATATCACTTACCATCTGTGTCAAAAAACATGCCTAGTAGGATATCATCTGGGCCTTTCCATTGTTTTTTCAAAGTATCCAGTATAAAAGCATTTTCTTGCTCAGTATGTATGCTTATCATGTCTGCCCCTGAAATTATTTAAGGGAGAGAAAAGCCAGCTTGTTCTCAGAGTCAATGAAAATCACATGAAGCATATAAAAATTATGTATTATTATATTACACTTTCACATTCTTTAAATTTAGCTTGAGACTATGCACATTTCTGAAGATACATTTACTCATGAGAATAGTAAAATGCCAATGATCAATTGAATAGAATCATTTTCTTACTTCTTTCACCTGGAGTTGGTAATCTCATTTATTTAAAAAAAAAAAACAAAACAGGAAAATACAACATCATGAAGATGTTTGAGCAGTAAAATACACTTTCTGTAGCTCTCACTTTACTTTTCCTACTCTGCGTCCTCTCGTAACCAGGGTTCTTTCTGCCCTCAGTTCACAAGGGCAGGGAGGAGTTCTCCACACCCAGGAGAGCTGAAAAGGATGAACACAGCCAAGGCCAGTGGAGTTAAAACAACAGTCTCTCTGACCAGCCTCATTTAGCAGCCTTTGCATGCCTGCTGCCCGAATCCTATGACTTCTATATATTCCTCTGTGGTCATCTTTACAAAGGCCTGGCTAAGGAAACTGACTGATAAAGGAGCTTTCTCATTGGATAGTTGGTTTTTCCAACTATCAAGAGTAAGGAGCAGCAACCAAATGTATTTTATGTCTCCCATAACTTTTTTGTTCTTCCAATCCAAAAGGTGTATAGCACCCTATAAAGATTAGTGGTAATTTCAATTTTCCAAGAGACATTTAAGCTTGTTTCTTAACCCAAGCAAAGATTGTCTCACATATCAAAAAATCATTCCACTGTCTTAATTGGGTAACACTTCTGAGCAAATATTAGTGGAGTTAGTTTCTCTCATGACAGTGAATGTTTTTACAGGTGAAAACAATTGAATGAATGATGACATGAAAGTTTATACTTAGCAAGCAGCGATCTGGTGGGGAGGACACATTTGTGCCTTGGGAGAAAATAAACAGCAGTAATAAGAAAAATGCGCTTTCAGTTGTACTCAGCTAAATGAGGATATAACATGAAAATATTCCTAAGGAAGAGGACTCTACATTAAGCTAGTAATTTAGAAGTAACTACGTTCCTATAATATTCCAGGGGAAAATAAGCTTGTGTAAAATATGTTGAGAGGGGCAGGAAGGGCCAGAGCACGTTTTCTGTGATTCCAGCAGACAGGGTAAAGGAGGAGAGAGTCCTGGAGCCCTCGGTGGCTTTTGCAGGCTTTCATTGGGATTTACCAGGTACACAGCAGGCAGGAGTGCTGGGGGGGGGGGCCAGGAGGCTGGCAGGCCTCCCACCCCCCAACAAATCTTCACTCTACCTGGGCTCCCCAGCATTCTCTGGTGGCCTTGTTCTCTGCTGCTCTCGTGGTTCTCGTTCGTTCTTCTGGCGTCCCCATGACGCCGCCCTTATAAGCCCAGTCTTAGCCCAGGTGAATCCCATCTACATATGCCCACACCCTACTCCAGGTGCCCGCCATCAGGCATGCATTCAGGACTGCAGGGTTCCATCATCAATCCTAATGGCGGGAGGGCAGAAAAGCCTGATATCATTTTCACGTACCCTACATATGTGTACATATTAAAAGTTACCTTTGAGACTTCTTGTACTACAACTAATTCAAATACATGTAGAAAAGAGGAAGAAGTCTTTCATACTATTAAATTACATTCTTCCAAAATCATCCTGACTTAACAAAGGCTCCCGAAAGCGGCACAGTGTTGTCCAGGTAGTGGCTCTTCAACTTGAGTGTGCATCAGATTCACCTGGAGGGCTTGTAAAATACAGTGTTGGGCACCACATCCAGAGACACTCAGTGGGCATGAGATGGGACCTTGAGAATTTAAATCCTTAAGTTCCCATGTGATGTTGAAGTTTCTGATCCAGGTACCACACCTTGAGAATTACAGAAGCCTTAAGTAATAGGTTGATGCATTTATGATACCATTTAAAATAATTTTTCATAATAAAATGTTAACTTACAGGGAGAAGAGAAAGTTCCTATTGTGGTATTACCTGATACGGTTAGAAAAATTTATTTCTGGTGATTACTTTTACATCTTTTAAAAAAGGTTTTTGTAAAAAATGATAAATTTAACTACAGAGGAAAAGAAAAACTACCGCAGGGTCAAAAATTCCCCAAGAAACATTAAAGAAGAAAATCACACTGAAAAGACTAAAGCTCTATTATAAATAAAAAGTAAAAAGGCAAACATCTTAATAGAAGACAAAAATTGGTCTCAAATTGTTAAAAAGGCAATTCATGCTCACAAAGGGAAATAAAACACAAGAAATGTGTGTGAAATGCAATTTGAGTGGTAAATAGGACTTTCAAACTTGAAGATTAAACACATGCTGGCGTTGGGTGTAGAAAAATAGGAGCTGTTAAGTGGTTACTGGGAGTAAAGATTAGCAAAGATTACCGTTTTAGAGATAATTTGGCCAAGATGTATCAAAGGTCCTTTAAAAAAATACATATTCTAAACTCAGCAGACCTTAACAATTTAGGGTAAGATAGTCACTGGCTCTGTCCTTAACTGGGCACATGTTTATGATGCTGAAAAATTGGAAATACTTTAATAACCTATATCTGAGGTTTAATTAAATCAATTATGGCCTATATCTATGTCATAGAATAAGGTATAGGTATTAGTAGATAAGCATTTTTTTTTTAAATTTACTTCCTTGGTGTAGGGTAAGGTAAAAAGTATCAGGCTTTTCTGCCCTCCCGCCATCAGGATAGATGATGGATCCTTGTGGTCCTGAATGCATGCCTGATGGCGGGCACCTGGAGTAGGGTGGGGAATGGGTGGATGGGATTCACCTGGGTTGAGGCTGGGCTTTTAGGGGCTGCATCGCGGGGACGTCAGCAGAAGCCGAGAGAGAAGCAGAAGGCGAGAGAGAAGCAGAAGCCGAGAGAGAAGCAGAAGCCGAGAGAGAAGCAGAGCCATGAGAACAGTGGAGAGAAAGTGAGAGAAGGCCGGAGAGCCCAGAGTGAAGATGTGCTGGGGGCCGGGAGGCTGGGAAGGCACCCCTACCTGCCATGTACCCAGTAAATCCCAATAAAAGCCTGAAAAGCCACCGAGGACTCTCTAGGACTCCTTCTATGCCCGGTCTGCTGGATCAGAAAACCTGCGCTGTGTCTTCCTGCCCCTACACTTGGAAAGACATTTTTAAGGGAAAACACAGATCACAGAAAAGTTTCTATTGTATGACCCCTTTTTATTAAAAGAAAAAGCAAGATTTATTAAAACACATTTGCATAGGTGAGGAGGGAAGTCTAGAAGGATACTTACCAAAATGTTAACAAGCCGTTACATTTCCTTTAGAATGGTACTATTTAGGGGATTGTTTTATTGCTAAAATATTTGCATATATATTTTTCTAAGTTTTTCATAATGATCATACATTATTTAACAACTGTTACAAGTAAAATTAAGACTGACTTTTAAAACAATATTTTAGTCCAAAGTAAAAATTCAGCAAGGTTCTCTCTCAGTTCTATTTAAAAAAAAAAAAAAATCCTGATAATTTTCTTATCAATTCCAGTTGCTCTCACCTCCTGTCTGTTTAATGTCATACAAAGTTTTAATCTGTTTTACCCTAGTCCTTAATGGTGAAATGTGACCAAAGTGCCACTCTTTCTAGAAAAAAGACACAAGTAAGATATTTAACTAGGTTATAGTTTAGGTTTAAGTGTTCGGAGATGAGTTTTTCTTTTTCTTTTTACCTTGTGGCAGCCAATGGAACTTTAATGACTTTTAACATTGTAATCTAATTAAATACTGTCTAAACTTAAATTACTATGTCAGGTAAATAAGACACACTTTCATTTTCTCTAATAAATGACAGCATAAATCCCTGAAGAATGCATGTGCTGAAGCACATTTTTTTTTACAATGCATTACCAATGACATTACCTGCTCAGATGTAATTTGGGTCTTTAATTCTTTTTATGGCTGGTGACTTAGCTTGGATCATGAAAAGGAAAGACTGAAACTATTTCTTCTATTATAAGTATAGTATGTAAATTAAAGGTAAATGTTGAAAATAGAAAAAAATCAGCCTGACAATTATTTTCCCAATGAATACTAGCACCAAAAATGAGGAGAAATACCATCAGGTAGATCAACATGAAGCACTGGGTGTATTTCTCAGCACAGCTCTCTGCAGCAGATAACAAGTCACTTATTTTTGATATCCGTAACAATCATAGATTGAAGGTAGGATTTTATATGGCTGTGAACATTTTATAAATCCAAATGTAAATATCTTAGTGTTCCTTATGCTTTTTCTTCTTCTTACATAGGAAACACTGAATTGATGTTCATCTACTGTTCTAAACCAAAGTCTTCCCTCTCCAGAAACACTGATTCAACAAATTTTTTGATTCATCGATGCAATGGGCATTTCCAGAGTGAAAGCAAATGTACAGGATTATCAAATAAGGGGTGAGGTTATCAGAAATTAAAAAAATCAAATCAGTAACAAAAATAAAAGACAAAAACTGATCTAACTGGTAGAAAATGTTAGAGCAGGCAGGCTGGGGTCAGCAGGCAGGCTGGGGTCAGCAGCTGGGGTCAGCGCTGACTGGCAAATAGCGTGGGGGGATGCTATAGACTCAGTTCCATCTCCTAACCTCAGACATGTCACTACAACTCCCCGAGTGCAATGAAACAACTTCTGGATGGGGTACTGCTGGGACGGAAGAAGGGTGAGGTGAGGAGTGTGGGGAACAGGGAAAGAAACAGATGACTGGCAGGCAGAGGCTGCTCCTGGTTTTTGCTCTTCACAGCTTTAGCACATTGGATCCAGTTCTCTCTTCAGAGAAATTGGCCACTGTCACTTTCCCCAAGCTGGTAGCTCTTCCAGCTTGGATGGAACATTTTGAACTTTGGGTCCTTCCTCTCCCAATAGTTGGGCCCTGCCTGGTCTTGCTGTTGATGTGTGCCTTGGGCTCCTCCTGGCAACTTTGCTCTTGGACCTTGCCCGCTCAGCTCTGGGCCCTGCCCGTTTTGCCTTTGCCCATGAGGAGACAGGCAATTTTAGAGTTGGATCAGGAAACTATTTTGAAATCCTTCTCTTCACTACTTCTATTCTCTCTCTCTCTCTCTCTCAAAAATCTGAGCACACTTTTATGATTACTTTGCTAGTCCTGCGGTGGGACACATTCCCTTAGAACCGGCAACATGGATTTTTTTCCCCTTAAGAGTTTGGGGACCCTGGGAATCCCTTTGTTTTACCCAATACCAATAGGGAATTTTTCTTTAGACATGGGACAAATTTTACAAGAACATTTGTGTACAAAATTAAAAATTCCTAAATGACTAATCTGCTTGAACAGTAATGGACTGTGAAACAAACAATGAAAAATCAGGCTACAATTTTTAAAAAAATCAATTTATAAATATCAGGCCATAAAATTGCTGGGCATTTTCAATTTTTTTTTGCTTTGTTGGTAAGGAAAAATTGCAAATACAACTATAGCTGAGTTGTAGAGGAAGTCAGTCAGCAAGTATTAATTATGCTTCTATATAGTAAACAATTCACTGCTCAAGATAAAGCAGGACAATGAACTTTGACCTTGTGGTTCACACAAGCTATTAAGATTATAGGAACATGTGTTTTCTTGGTTCTCAGCTTCAAATGTAAATTCTGTTATTGAAATCTGTGTTTATATCTAAGTATACCTAAGTGGTTTTTTTAAAGGAACTTAAAAAAAATTTTTTTAAAAAGATTTTATTTTTGTGTAAAAGAATGAGGGTGTAGGCCAGAGATGCAGAGGGTGAGAGGATTCCCAGAGACAGAGTGGGGAGTAGAGCAGGCAGATCTACTGAAATACACTGCTGAGGGGAGCTTTGGGCAAGACAGGCAAGTTCTGCTGCGCCATATGTGTGTTAGCTCCCTGGCCAGGGTTGGAACTCAGGCCACAGTGGTGACAGCACTGAGACTTAACCCCTAGGCCATCAGGGAGGCCACCTAAATGTTTTTTTTCTTTTTAAGAGATAAAAAATAGTTGTAGGGGAAACCCCATTTTAAAAAATCTTGTAAGGTCAGTAAAACTCCTATTATTACATTTCCTTGATGTAATAATGTTTCACACTATTTGGCAGTTGATAAGAGTTTTTAAGGGCCTCCCCGGTGGCGCAGCGGTTGAGCGCTGGGTTGCGAAGCTGCCCGCAGCCTCTGCGGCACCGGTTCGATCCCCGACTGCTCCCCGGCCACCTGAGGAGGGTCCCACATGGCGCGCAGACCTCTCCTGCCGCCCGCTGCTCCCCTCAGCAGTGTACTTCGGTCCTTCTGCCTGCTCTGCTCCCCGCTCTGGCTCTGATGAATTCTCTCACCCTCCCGCGCTTCTGACTATACCCAGTGCATGTATAAACAAAACAAACAAACAAACAAATAAATAAATAAAACATGCCTCTATAAACAAAAAAACAACAAAAAAAGAGTTTTTAAAAGGGAAACAATAAATATCTACTGGTACTCTATGGCACTAATTAAGATTTAAAATTTCTATGCTTACATTAATTTTTCCTAGAATAAAGGAATATGATTTTAATTAAAGTATCTATATGACAACTTTATATTCTGCCAACATTCATATTGGTAAGTTGTCAGAAAGCATGATTTTTAAGTAAAGTGCACTTTACCTAAGATTTGAATATGTCTATCATGAAATAGTCAAGAGATTTTTAGATCTCACACAGTAGTAAAAGCACCTTTACAGAATCAAGAACTCTCACATCAAGATCACTGATTTCAGTGGAAAAAAGCTGCTAGCTTAAAAACCTCATAGTTTTAGTTTGAGCTGACACATAACAACTAGAGGCTTAATAACAAAGATGCACTTTGTTTTAAACACCTAAATAGATCAAAAGCACTTAAGCATATCCTTTAAATATGAAATTTTTATTTAAAATATTTCACCATGTGCAGTTATAAATGTATTTCCCATAGAACATTGAGCATATCCTTTAGAAATAGCCTATTTCTCATTTTTCTTGAACAAAACCATTCTTTACCACAGTCTCAGTTCCAGCTTGTAAAATCTGATTTCTGCCTACCCTGCATACCTAAAATAGCACTTTTGGAGCAGAACAGCAAAGTGATTAAAACTCTAGTCCCTAAATCACACAGATCCTGGTTAGAATCCTGACTGTCACCCAAGGTCTCACCTGTGTGACCTTAAACAAATAACTGAACTTAATTTCTTATTTAGATAAGAGGAGTCTAATAATAACCCACCTGCTAGTTTTGTTATGATGGGCCAGGTAAAGTATACGATGTGCTTAAGCACAGAATACACACGTTAAAGACATTGCTGTTGCTAAGATTCTATCACTCTGGTTTCGACAGTATTGTCTGTCTGCCAACTTAAGGGCTAAATGTTTACCCAATTCCACTGCCTGTAGTGTGTGTGCTGTAGAATAAAATAAAAGTTATCCCCTATAAGAACCAGGTAAAATTGAGTTATCACAAAATCATTTTTAAAGACATTAGTGAACACTATTTACTGATTTGTTAAAACAAGCAAACAAAAAAAAAGGGTCCTCTCCTTACCAATGGTCGTGCACTGACTTCTGACATCCTCTATGCTTTCTACTTTGATGGATTCTTGAAGAAAAAGGTAACAACTGTCTTGAAACTGAATCCAGGTGGATGAAGGACAGTCTATGCAGAAAGTGAGAAACACTATTAAATAACGGGAATGAGAATCTCATGATTTCTTGAAGATAAGGACATCATATATAAAATTTTCACATTAAAAATAGTATGCCAGTTTTCCTTGTTAATTAGTGACAAGGCTCTCCGTCTTTTTTAAAATAAGAAACTAACTACAGATATACCTTGAAGAGATTTGGATTCAGTTCTAGACACTGCAATAAAGCAAATATCACAAGAAAGCAAGTCATGTGCATTGTTTTGTCTTCCCAATGCATATAAAATAGTTATGTTTACACAACCCTGTAGTTCATTAAATGTGCAATAGCATCATGTCTTTAAAAACCCATGTACACATCTTAATTTAAAAATACTTCATTGCTAAAAAATACTAACCATCATCTCGGCCTTTTACAAGTTGTAATCTTTTAATGATGATCTTGCCTTTATGTTGATAGCTGCTGACTGATCAGGATGGGCGGTGGTTGCTGAAGGGTGGGTGGCTGTGGCAATTTCTTAAAATAAGACAACAATGAAGTTTGCCACATAAATTGACTCTTCCTTTCACAAACGATTACTCTGTACCATGTGATGCTGTTTGATAGCATTTCACCCACAAGAAGAACTTATTTCAAAATGAGAGTCAATCCTCTCAAACCCTGCTGTTGCTTTATTAAGTTATAAAATATTCTAAATCCTTTGTTGTCATTACAACAACATTCCCAGCATCTTCACCTGGAGTGCATTCCATCACAAGAAAATAGTTTCCTTTCACATACATCAGAAGCAACACTTCATTATGAGATTTATCACGGGATTATGACAATCCAGTAACACCTTAAATCTCCATTTCTAATTCTAGTCCTCTTGCTATTTCCACCACATCTGCAGTTACTTCCTCTACTGAAGTTTTTTCTGAACTTCTGTTCATGTTGATATTTTGACCTCCTTCCATGAATCACAAGTGTTTTTAATGGCACCTAGAATGGTGAATCTTTTCATCATTTCAAGTTACTTTGCCTAAATCCATAAGAGGAATCACTGTCTATGGCAGTTACAGTCTTATAAAATGTGTTTCTTTAAATAATAAGACTTGAAGGTCAAATAACTCCTTGATCTATAGGCTGCGGGCATGAAAGTAGCATTCATCTCCTTGTAAATGTCCATCAGAGCTTTAGGTGACCAAATGCATTGTTAATGAACAGTAATATTTTGAAAGAATTTCTTTTTCTAAGCAGTAACTCTCAATAGTAGACTTAAAATATCCAATAAGCCATGTTGCAAACAGATATGCGGTTTTCCAAGCTTTTTTTTTGATTCCGTTAATAGTGCATGGTTAGAGTTATGTTTTCTAAACTTATGTTCTCTAAACTTTTCAGAATGGTAAATATATATTAGTTTCAACTTAGAGTCAACCACCAGTTCCACTGGCCCCTAAGAAGATTGCCGGCTATCCTTTGAAACTTTGAAGCTAGGCATTGATCTCTCTAAGAAAGTACTAAATGGCACCTTCTTCCAATAGAAGGCTCTTCTGTCTATACTGAAAATCGGTTGTTTTAAGTGTCACTACCTTCATCAATGATCAGACCCTTCTGGCTAAGTTGCTAAGTGTACCCATCAGCACTTGCTGTTTTACCTTCCACTTTTATGTTATGGAAACATATTCTTTCCTTAAACCTCATTAACAAAACTCTGTAGCTTCAAATATTTCTTCTGCAGTTTCCAAAACTCTCTTAGCCTTCATAGTATTGAAGAGTTAGGAACTTGCTCTGAATTACATTTTTGCTTAAGGGAATGTTGTGACTTGGATCTACCCAGGCACTAAAACTGTCTCCATATTAGCAACAAGGCTGTTATACTTTCTTATCATTCATGTATTCACTGAAATAGCATTTTAAATTTCCCTGAAGAAGATTTTCTTTGTTTCAGAAGCTACCACTTCATCCTTTCTAGCTCCATTCATGTTGAACATTTCTCATGCTACTGGTCAGAGTCTGTTTTTTACAAATAAGCTTTAAACACTACTTACGAGATATCATTTTACTTTGAGAGGAATAGTGCTCAAAGGGAGATTTGCTATGTCTCCATTTGTTGAACTTCAAGCATTTCATGAGATGAAGGCTAAACTAAGTCTTCTTCAAATGGAATTATCTGTGCATTAATAAAAACTTGCCCTCCACTACCTCCATAACCTTTCAATGACAGATTGTGTAATATTCTCTCTAAAATTATATTCCAATAAATCTACTTTGCTCAAAAAACAAAAGCAAATAACCTGCCCACTGAATTCTCTGTAAAGCGTTGTTTTTTTTTTTCTTTCCATTTTTCTTACTTCTTCATAGCAGTCCTGAAAGATAGCTTGTTGGTAAATGATTCCTATGGATCTTGTAATTCTACTTATTTACGATGCAATTTAGGTGAGAATTTAAAAACTTACATATAACATTAGTCCAATAGTTTCCATATAGACCTTCTGCCTAAATTTACCATGTGATAAAGAAATAAAATGGTGTGTTCACGCAAATATTTCACATTACTAGTCAGTTCTAACAGAACTCTCTGTTCCCTTATAATTTCTTTTTTTGAACCGACAGGCATAGAAGAAGAGGAAGTGATCCTTTAGACATACTTGTTGTGAATGTTAACAAAGGAAAGGCAAAGACTGTATTTTTTCCCTTTGTCATGAAGACCTTTGCCTCCCCTATTGAGATAAAAGTTGCAGTCACTTCCTTCCACAAGGGCAACCATGGCAGACAAAAGAAGAGTGCTCTACTGTTCAGTTTGTATGGGGGAAGGAGAGCGGAGCTGAAACACCCGCCTTCAAGATCTCTCCAGAAGCACAAAAATTCACCCCCTCTGACACTCCAACTCCTCTCCACATTACCCTTCCCCACTAGCTTCCAGCACACCTTCCTCTCACCTTCTCAAATTCCTTCTCAAAGAGCTGCCATATTAATTCATCAAGTGGGGTGCAATTGCTACTCTGTACTTTCCTCACTGGGCATTGCTGGTACATTTTCTCAGAATTGCCCTCAACATCTAAAAAAACCCATAAAAGGAATGAACTACTTGATATGCAGCATTTAAAAAATGGATAATAATCTTGTAAAACTAGCTTTCTGCATATTTTAAAAGCTTCTCAACAATCAAAGAAGTACTGAAATAATACCTAATTGTAATTTCACTTTTTCATCAGAATAAAAATAAACAGTTATTAACATTTCAAAATTGACCAAAATATACCTGAAATTATTTCCCCTGAAACATAATTGTGCCATCTACAAGGGACAGAAAAAGTAACATCAATAGATTTAGATGATTTAATGCTTTGAATTCAATTATGAGATGAGTTCATGGCAGAGGTAAAATAATTAGAAAGAAACTGCAATTCAATTATCCCCCTACTTTTAAAATCATTCATCGAAATTTTTGACCTTTTATTATAAATTCGAATAAAGTGTAGAGATACAGAACAAAAAAATCAAATGCAATGAAGTTTCCATTGTTATGGGTTTTTTTTTTTTCTGGTAAGGGGACAAGCAAGAAGACAAAGGAATAAGCCAGATACTTTCAGAAGTATTAAGTGCTTTAATACTTTAAAACACAGGGATGTGATAAAGAATGTGGGATGTTTAGAGCTGGCAGATCTGAGGAGAAATCTCAGTAAATGTGGATAGATGTAGCCACCTGAAGACCAGGGAAGAGAAGGGTAGTCTGGGTAGAAGAACTGTCCAGGGCTTAAGTTCTCAGCAGGTCAGCATGGACAAACAGTGAACCGCAGGCTGGGAAGAGATGATGTCAGGGAGGAAGGCATGGACACCACACCTAGGCCTACGGCAACTCAAAATTAGTAACCTAGATTCTGATCCTTGTGAAGACCAGAGAATGAGGATTTGCCCTGGACATGTTTATATCCACTGATCTCACACCACCCATGGGAAATCACTGACCCAATAAACATATACTGATCATCTGTGTGTAAAAAAAAGCACCATCACAGAAGAACTTTTTTTAAAGGGATGCATGGAATCTTACTCAGGAATTCAAAGAATGTTCTGGTCATTGTAATTTTCCAGAAAATAAATCAGAATAATAGAAAATCAGTTACATTAATAAAATCCAAAATAATAGAGAAGAATAACAGTGGTTTTCATTCCAACATTCAATTTATATTACGTAATACCAGAAGAACTTTTTCTGTTAAGATCCTGCCATTCAGTTAATTCTATGATAACCTTGAAAAGGTCTGTTTTGATTTAGTTGTAAGTCAAAAATGATTCCTATCTTGTCTGGATAGGAGATTTGTAAACTATAGTCAGCTCTCCATATTCATGGGTTCAGCATTGAGGACTCAACCAATTGCAAATCAAAAATACATAGGAACTTCGTAGGTAGGCCTAAGGTGGCTGTGTTTTTACTGAACATGTACAATTTTTCTAGTCATTATCCCTCAAACAAAACAGCTTTACATAGCATTTACATTGTATGGGATATAATAAGCAATCTAGAGATGAGTTAAAGTATATGGGAGGATGTGCATAGATTACACACAAATACTACAGCATTTCATATAAGGGACTTTAGAACCCAAAGATTTTGGTATTCCTGGAAGTTTCTGGAACCAATATTCCTGGCTACGGAAGGATAATAAAAAAAAAGATACAGTTATTTTTTAGCCCTTTATCACCAATATGCATGTGAAACTGCTCAGTAACCATATACAACCAACACACAGAAAGTAACACATGATGTTCTCTAGTTGTAATAATTACCCTTTATTTTGTACAAAAGAAAGGAAAGAAACTTATCTTTACCAAGGCTGTAATAACTTCCCTATGGAGTATAACCTCCATTTTATGAAGTTAATGAGTTGGGTAACATGACCGTTTGTACCAAATTCCAAAGCTCACACTTTTTCTAAAGTAATCCTTAAAGCCTCCTGACGGAGAAAACCTGGTGAATTAATGGCATTAATTTATTCAACATGCACTTCTTAAGCTCTTAAAAAG